GGGAAAGATAAAAAATGGCTGCACAAGAACAATATCTTTTGGGGACGCCTCATTGCCCTAATTGATGGCTCATTATATTGTTTTTGTTCCTATGTGGCCACATCCACATTATGCTCCCACCTGAGACTTTTTGAAGTGTCACATTAACCTTCTGGGATTGATACCTGCTCATTTGAAAATGTTTTCAATACAAATGATAAAAATCAATGTGTTTTCACTATATAATGGTCCCGATTTTCTGTTTATATTACCGAAAAAAGATGTACACGTCCTGCATCTCTGCTCTGGCAACATTACCTTAAGGTTCAGAATATAACTGAATTTTTGTTGTGACTAATTTGCTCAAAACTCCTTGCAATGCCAGAAATATTCGAACAGAGCCATTCTTCTGCGATCAAAGGTTCAAAGACAAATTATAAACTTAGAATTTTGGCAAGAGTAACTCTCTCTTCACAAACTTATTCTTAATTAGATACAGGAATAAAACTGTATCTCAAATTACAGAAAAACTTTATTGATCTTACTAATTAACACTACAATCTAACTTATTTAATTCCAGATATGTAATAGTTACATGATGGTTCACTTGTTAATGTTTACTCAAGAGGATTTACCTTATAATCTGTTGCAATTAAATTAAACAATACACCTGTAAATTATTTAAAAAACAAAAAGCAAAACAGCAAATATATAAAAGAAATTGTAACCATAAAAGTGAATACTGTGTATCCAATAACCACTACTACCAAGTCAAAGATCTGACCAGGAATAAAGAAAATGCAGAACAATTCAGTTTCTCATGTCACCAGCAAATAAATATCTTACCAACCGCTTGCACCAGTATAATTAAACAAGTTTACGATACAATACTGTACATAGCTACTAACAACAATACTACAGGGTACTGCATCAAATAATTTTAGATGCTATATATGAAAAGCCGTTTCAGAAAAAAAAACCAGCAGTGAATGTAATTAAATGCCTTTTTCTGGCAAGTCCCTTCATTGGCTTCCAAAAGCTCCAAGCATTCCACCATCCCTTGCGAGTCAACAGGTGCCTACCAGGGACCAAGACCGGAATTTGGCTCCCTCAACAGAAGCAAATGTATTTGGGGATACAAGATCAGCCCAAGCTGAAAGGAAACCATCAGAAAGGTAGAGCACATTCAAACAAGCAACAGCATGGAAAACATTAGTAACCTTGATACAAATAATGTACACATTGTTCTCCAGATCAAACCACTAGTTAGCTACACTCAATTGCCACCAGCTGACAATCCTGGCATGTCCCTTCATTGGCTAGTCAGATGTCCCAACTAGTGATATGTTGCTCAAAAACAACTCTTGAGAGACATGTGGACTTGACAAACAAAAACAATGAGGGACTTGTGGGAACAATTAGCTGCTGAATGGACCTACCTGTACCAGAAAGAGGCATTCCATTACATTCAATGCTGGATTTCTGCAAGGGTTACCTTTGGTGTCCCCCTGAAGCTAACTCACCATGGAGGAGAGAGAGAGAGAAAGGGGCTGACCTGGGTAAAAACAAGAGGGGGGAAACTGCAGAAATCTCAAACTTGAACAACTGTCCAGGGCCATAAACCTACTAAAAAGTGGGAATAGGAACTAATTACTCACATGAGTACACAGTTACTGTACTCTTTGAGTACACCAGGAAAGCCAGCATGAAAACTGGACACCCAAAAAAGAAAACAAGAAACAGTCTGAAGAAATGAAGTACAGTACCCATCTAAAAATCCCAAGAGCACACGGAATAGCGCCCTGCTCCCACTAGACACATGAAGAAAACCACCAGGAAAGCAAGACCAAACTCCACCACCAAGAACCACCTCTCAAGAAAACTATAGACCGAAATGACACTAGAAAAGACAATGCAGGCAGAAGAAACCAAGACACAGGAGATCTGAATCCTTGCAGCCAGAAGAGGCCAAGGAAGTCAGCAACTTAACAACCAAAAGTGAGAGCCACAAAAACGATCACCTGAAAAAAGATGATCAGGACCAAAAAGGAGAGAATACCTAGGTGGGGATGAAGAAAGATACCCAGACGAAACCAAAATGTCCAGAAAGAGAAAACATCAGCCAGCATCATGGAGCAGAGTACTCACAACACAAGACTAAGTACCTCTTTCAAGCAACTCATGTGGATGAACGACTATACAGAGGAAACAGCCACAAGACAGGTGGTGATAAATCAAGGGACATCGGATTAAAAAACAGCATTGAATGTAATGAAACGCCATTTTCTGGGCGAGCTCCAGAGGCTCCCTGGAGCTTATTGGGCTAATGTATGTTATATTAGACTGGGACATTAGCTATGGAGTTTAGACCTAGCAGGGACTAGCGCCAGAACCTGGCCCCTTCAGAGAGGTTTCAGGGAGCAATGGCCCTGGAAAACCCCCTTGTAGTTGGGGGTTTTCCTTATTTCCATCGACCAGGGTTAGGCATCCAGAAAGGTAGGCATAACAAAAACCCCACATGGTAAGAAACAAAAACAAAAAACCGAACCGAGAGGTAGAAACTTCCTACAATCTCAAGGAAACAAGGAAACAAGCAAACATCACACTTTACTGCCATGCAGCTCGTCCGCACAGCCCTCCCTTCCCAAGAGGGGGAGGGGGGGCCCCGTCTCACCGCGCCAGCTGCCTAGCACCAGTTCAGAAGCTAAGCTTCAACCAACGCGAAAAAACCGCCGACCAGTTGGAGTGAGGGTTGCTAGGGAGCCTCCGGGGCTCACCCAGAAAATGGCGTTTCATTACTGTACATTCAACGCTGGTTTTCTGTGGGGAGCCCCTATGGCTCCCTGGAGCTACATACCCAAAGAGAAGGAATATTACCCGAGAGGCAGCCACCACAAACTCCTCAACGCGAAGTTGAGACAACTGGCTGCAACCTGCGATCCAAAGCAACACAAGAATGCCCAGGAGCAGGCGCGTTCACCAAATAACGAGCGGCCAGGACCCTGTTCGATCTTCAAAATTCACGTGCCCGTATATGAGCCCAGGACATGTTACCGAACACGGCAGCCAAAACTGCAAACTTCTGAACGTCATGGGTGCGAGGATAGATTGCAGGCTGGCTAGACTTAATAACCCTGCGGACGACCTGGGAGACCCGAGCCCTGGAACAGGAAACGAGGGAAACTGGATCAACCCAAAGCGCATCCTCAGTTACCCCAGCCGAGGCGAGCAGGTAACAGCGAAGAGACGCAACCGGACACAACACATGATGCACCCCTGGCCGAACCAACTAAGCATCAATGACCCAAGGACCCCTCTGGAAAGCAGCCATCTCGTTCTTCGGCAGAAAAGACGGAAAAAGCTGCAAACGGACAAACCTACCCCCCAGGACCAAAAGACCAGAAATCCCTGCGCCGGAGGAGAGCATGAAGCTCTCCTACCCAACCCCCAGAGGCCAATGCCAACAAAAACAGGGCCTTGGAAAAACAATCTTGGACCGAAGGGGCCACCACAAACCGAGGAGAGGAAAGATAAGAGAGCACCCTGTCCAAGGACAAGGACGGCTCAGGCGGCGCATGGGCAGGCCAGAGGTGAAACATAGTATGAGAAAGCTTACGGAACAGGGCGGATGTAATGTCCACCCCGATCGCAAACTGGAGCGATCCGCCAGTGCCGCACAATATGAGGCGACAGTATTAGGCATCAAATGACGGTCCTGAAAAAGCCAAGAAAGAAAGGACAAGACAACTCGATCTGAAAGAGAAGACAACTTACGAAGAGCAAGAAAATGGTGAAAAGAACGGCAAGAAACTTCGTAATGTCACCGAGACGACCGTACTGTCACCGGTCGTTACAGAAGAATACATTTTGCCTACCCCAACGACGAAGGGTCTGCAGAAGAACCAAAGCCCACAAACTATCCAGGGTGAGGCCCCTTGAGAGAAGATAACCTCAAGAGGCAGGCACCTGAACATTGTCAAGGGAAAAAAACCCTGGCTGAAGATAGAGCAATGCCAGTAGCAATCAGAGAAGGCAACTCTCGCCCATGCAGCCAAGATCAACAAGACTCGAGGCTTATAGAACAGTGACTAAAAAAAAGAAAAACACACATGTGAAATAGAAAAAGGAACACATGCACAGAATCGTGCAGCACAAAAGTCCAGAAGGAGAACCAACATTTAGCTGAAAATAAAGCTAGGAAGGTCAGCAGGGCATTTAGGAATTGTCTCCTTTGAGCATCAGGCAAATGATTGATGGGGGTGTTCCAGACTGCTTGGAGCTATCATCTGGGGGCAAGGAAATGTTACTAACTAGTGGTTGGTTCTGGACAACGAGTGTGTGTACACTGATTGTGTCAGTTACCAATGTTTTCCCACACAGTTGCTTGTTTGTTTTAGGACTATCTTTCTAGTAGTTTATGTTTTCAGCCTGGATTGATCTTGTATCCCTAGACCCCCATCCCTCTACTGAGAGGAAGGATGGGGGTGAGCAGATTCCAATCCTGGGACCCAAGAGGCACTCGTGACTCATAAGAACCTGGTTGGATACTTTAGGCTTGGAGTTGTCCAGGCAGGTAGCTTCAGGGACCTACCAAAAGGAGCCCTCCCAGAAAATGCCAAAGCATATAATGACTAACTATTGGCTAGTTTTGTTACCAATAATATGGAATATCTAATACAAAAATAGCAAGACATTTAGTATAAAGTACTGTATCGCAAGTCCATAATATACACAACAGTGCAAAGTGTAGATGGATATTTATGGCTTCTCTCAGTAGCTTACTGGCTAGCATTGTAAATGCGTAGCTACGTCTGTGGTAGAAAAAAAAAGTAGCTTACTGGTTGGCTCTGGCACTGTAAACTATCAAGTCTACAAAACTACCAGACCTACCAAACACTAGGACCAGAATCTGGCGAGCTCACAGAAGCCAGCAGAGCATCGGGATCAGAGATCAATTTCATAATCAAGTAAAACCATCCAGAATGACAGGTGAAGCAGCACAAACTACAGTGTCTATCTTATGAAATTAAAAAAAAAAAAAAAGATGGAAACAAGGAAAGAAGTAGGTACCTGGATTGTACCTGGAAGGGGTTCTGAGAGTTCTACTCCCAAGGGCCGGCCCAAGGCCAGGTAGTTTTTCTAATGTCAACAAACCATGTGCTAGTATTCAAGTGCACCAACAGATGGCAGCTTGGGTAAAAATAGGTTCCATCTGCATGTATGCTTTATTTCTGTACCTGTTACTACTCTTCTGCAATGACTGATGCTATTTTGAGCTAAGTGAAATTAGCATTCTTTGGGATTTGGTTGTTCTTCAAGGGCCAGGCTAGGTATTTATTTTTATTTGATGGTTCACACTTGTTTATGCCTCCCATCTACTGTGTCAGCAGCCAATTAGTTCACACCAATTTTGTTTCAGGGTTATCTTCCCTGGCTTTTGGCCCTGCATTTTTTGTTTCCACACTAGAGTTATCTTCTCTGCGGGTTTTAAGTGTCCTCCTTTCTTGATTTGCTCCTCTTCAGTTGCCCCAATGTCCAGTGTCTGACTTGGTTTTTAAACTAGGCCTGTTGATGAGATTTTATTAGGGTTTACTGTATGAGGTACAGTGTGAGAGAGAGAAAAAAAAAGGTTGAGAATATTCATGCTCTGTGAATAAGGAATCTTTCAATTTAATTCTGAGGCACTGTAAACCTTATTGTGTCTGTACTTCTGGGGTTCAGTGTGTAGAATTTGGTCTCGATACCCTTGTGTCTGGTGCTTCCGGATGTGCTTTAATGGAGACAACAAGTAACAGTAATGTGGCTGAAGAGTTGATATCCAGCCTGCAACTGAAAATTAAGATATCACGGTTTCGGTCTGTCCTGGATGGGCATCAAGTCTTTAACGGGTCTGAGAGTCACTTTCTGTTTGATCTGGGTGGCTTGTTTGCCATGTACAGTATTTTCTAATCTTTTGAAAATAAGTATAACAATGTTATAAAATCATTATCACTTTGTTGGTTGAAGTCTTGTGACTTCACTTGCCCATATGTGACTACTTTGGGAATATGAGTGTTTTTATTTTACTCTTGATGGCCATTCATGTTGCTTTTGTCCACCTGCTGGGTTTGGTTTTCTACCCATCCATAGACATGTGGTATTTGTTGTCTCTTACGGTCTATATTGGCTGAGCTGCCCTCCTGGGTGGAGGGCTATCAAATGGCTTCTACCATCCATATATTCAATGGCAGCACTGAAAAAATAAGGCATTTACTGAACACAATCTGCTAGTCTGGCTACAGACAGCCTTGCAAAAGATGGCTAGAAAAGCTGGTGTGGCTACTAAATTAAAATTAAATTAATAGCTGTGAATGCCAACCCATGAACTTCACAATTTCCATTGCATTACCCACAGAGAAGTGCTATAGAGTAAAACATTAAAAATATATATATCATGGATTTCATCGCGGACAATGAACATTTTACAGTATCCACTCTATTTAAGGACCTCTTATTTACTGTTTCACCAGTTCTAACGACCGAATTTTAGATCGTCAACTGGCACTTTATTTACCAAGCCATTAGCCGTTAAATTCGGAATACAGTACCGAGTTTAAGAGTCCAGTACGCGTTAAACTGGAGGCCACTATTATGTTTGTTGTGCTTCTGTTATCAGAGCCAACTTACTGCATGGGCCCGATGGGCACTGGCCCAGGGGCCCCACGAGCATAGGACATGTTCATTATGGAAGTAGAATGTTTAAATATTTGGGTCTTGTTGCAAGCACACTTATATAATATAACCCTACATCCTGGTGTGCGACTACATACTAAATATTTAAGATATAGATTTCCAGGTGAATAACCCTTTCAATGAAATGTAATGTTTTGAGTGAAGCACAGAAGAGGAAGAGAGCTGCAGAGGATGAGGAAAAAAGGAAAACTTCCAGAATTAATATTGTGGCTCAACACAGGTGCAACGACAGGCACTCATACCATTCCTTCAGATATAGCATCCACTCCTGCAATGTCAGCCACTAGTACTGTTCCTTCAGATATAGCACCCACATCTACATGCAGTCCTGCTACCAATCATCCAGTTTCAGCAGACAAACCATCATTGTCTGTTGCTGCTGCTGGTGACATTTTACAAGAGGAAATACCCAAATCTGTATCGGTAAACGAGTTTGCAATCCACGAGACAGATCTGGGGTCATGGAGCATTAATGATACTGTACTAACACAATAGATTACTAGATTCGTAGTGGGCTCCTCATCATGTCAGAATCATCATAGCAACCTTTCAAACTCATGCAGATTATAAAACAGCTGAAGTAGAGAATATGAAAGCAAGGTATTTATCAATGTGTTCACAAACATGAACTACGGAATGGAGAGTATGTAAAACATGAATGGCTACGCTATTCACCATCCCAAGGTCGTTTGTACTGCTTTGTATGTTTCCTATTGTCCAAGAAAGAATCTCCCTTTGCTACATTGGGGTTCAATGACTGGAAGCACAGCAATGTTATTGTAGAACATGAAAATGGAGAACATCAAAGAACATCCTTAACTGTAGCCTCTGTTTACTCAGCAGTGAATAGGTACCTGTTTGTTAAACGATTTGGCGGATCGTATTCCGGGGATTAAGTACCTGCCCGAAATGCTGTATCAAAAGCTTCTTAGCAGTCTTGGAAGATGCAATCCTCCCATCCTTTTGCCTCTTGTCTTATTTTGGTGACCCATCATAGAATTCAATCAAGTTTGTTAAGCATTTTGATGCCTTTCTATCTACTAAATCCATCTTTTCTTGGACCCTAGGTTTCAATCCTTCTCACCCCAATGGTCAGCCCTCTGTTTTTGTTCATTAATTCAGCACTGTTTCTATTAGCACAAAGATGGCTTCCTATATGAGGCATTATTAGGCATATACAAAAGTGAGCTGCTGAGGACCAGCCCAGAAATCAATGAATGCAATAAAATGCTCTTTTCTGAGCAGCCTCAGTAGCTTCCTATACCCACCTTTCTTTTCCAAGGAGATCAGGGGTCTTTTGGGAGGCAGCACATAAAAAATGCAGGCAGGTTGAACCTGCTCTTGGATACTGTCACATGGTTTGTTAATGCTGAACCTGCCGCTTCCCTTGTTTCCATTTTTCTTTCAGAAAAGAATTACATCTAAAGTGTGTTAATTTTCAATGGACTCGCAGGGCAGTTTTGCTCTGTATTGAGTCAATCTTAGGTATCCATGCCTCTATGAACACACCACATTCTGGATCTGGTATTCAGTAGACTTACACAAGTCTAAAGAACTTGTAGTTTTGCAGATGTATCTGTGGTGCCAGAGCCACTGTACCAGGGAGCTACTGAGGGCCAGATTGCACATTACATAAAAGTTCTGTAAAATAGTGTTATTTTTGGTTGTTGTAACTGTACTGTACTATATATAGCATATGTAATCATTGTAGTCAATACACTACAACTGATCATAAACAATTTAGTAAACAAGGTAACAATTCTGAGCTATAAATTTCAGTGAAAATGCAGTACAGGGTATATGAAAAATTAATTCTTACTGGGCATCAAACACATGCACCTCAAGAGAATGTTTTGGGGGATAAGTTTTTTTTATCAAAAAGAAGATATATATGAGGTAAGATTGTACTAAAGCCAAGTAAGATGCTGAGCCTTGAAAAGAGGCCAAGTGAAGTAAACGTCCCTGATAGAGGACCAAATTATTCAAGGCTCATTATTACTCAACTTATTAATAGCTTCTCAAAATATCTTTTCTGCTGCTCTACCTCTTGAGTCTTATTGCACTGACTATTCTTATTTTAGAACAGCAAGCAAAGCATGATCTAGTTTGTGGCCTGATCCCACAACAAAATACCAATTTGCCTTAACTATACTTGGTCATCTATATCATAGACATATTCTACAAGTGTCATTCTGCAACTGCATACATATATATGCAGGGAAATAATAAAAATATATCACTTTAACCAGCAGGCAACAAAAAATTGCTGGTGTCTATACTAAAACAATGTATCAGCAGCATATAACAGAGTCAAGCCTATAAGTATCTCAATTTTACTCTTCATCACTTAGGCAGTATGCAAGCCATTCAAAGGAAATACCAAATACTCCACTGAATGAAATTTATATACAAATATAAATGAGATACATACTACATAATGTATGTCTACTGTAGGTACTTTCTGGAAGAGGCTAGCTGTAATATGAAAATAATTTATGGTTTTATACCAAGCCAGCCTTTTATATGTTCCTTTATGGGTTGATAATACTGTAATCTGAGAAGCATCATTTCTCGTGTAGAGCGAACACCTTGAAGTAGGACTGACTCGCTTTCAAAAACAAGAACTACTGAGCAAGAAAGAATAAAGACAACAAAAACAAAAGCTACAAGAAATACTCTGAGAAATGCTTTTACGTTAAGCCTACTTATCCGACCCCGTAGCAGCCTTTGGGCCCCTCCCCGTGTCAGGTCTTGGGGAAGACATAATGGTGGTACTTGCAATTTCTCTCTTCTGGAAGGTGCCAAACTACTTCTTAGAGGACTTTTCAGACATTTATCTTCTCTATTTGTTAGTGGAGGTCGAGGGTCACTTTGACTATGAGGTGGTCCTAAGGTCTCTGTTGATGAAGTATCACCAAATTCACTTGTGTGACCCCGACCACTGTAGTCACAAAAAAGTTGCTGCTGGAGCATCGCTTCCTCCCCTAAAAAGCATGAATAGCAGTTGGAAAACTAGATAAATGTAAATTAATTTATATGACATGAACAATCTCTGGAAATACAAATTTTAATGTACTCAAAAAATTTAATCTGACTTATTAAATTAAAAAACTAAGCCAAATTAGTTAAAATACTCTATACTGTATACAGTACCATCTTCCACTGATCAAGTTAACAGTTTCCCCAAAGAGAGGGTAATCGTCAAATTAAAGGGTTTGACCAGGGGTGGGAACCTGCAGCCTTAACCACTGTACTGCGAAGAGCACCCGAAGGTGCTCCGAGAGCTGTGCTATTTTTTTTAATTATATTTTAATGTTTTTTAATGTTTCATCACTCTGTGTTTTGAAATGAGAATGGTTCAGTTTGGAAACATTTTGACATTAACTATACCTAAACATTTGTAAAGCAACAAAAATATGTCCTTAACAATTGCACTATGAAGTTTTGCGCAAACCAGGTGCGCAGTGCAGTAGTTAAGGCTGCATATGGCCTTCTGCACATTAAATATATATATATATATATAGGGAAATGTGGTTGCCCGCAGTCTTTTCCAAGAAATAAAAACTTGGCATAAAATCTCATTTTTTTTTAAATGAGATTTTATGCAAAATTTTATGATTTTATGCATTAAAAATTAGATTTTTAATACATTTTATATCATCTTGCATAAAGTATCATTTAAATTTTTACTTTTGTTATGAATCCATATATTTGATTCTAACAATTATCATGATAAACATGTATGTCCAGTATTTCTTTCCCCAGTTATTTAAATTAATCATTGTCCATTTGTTTTCCAGTATATATGGTTGATTTATATGTAGCATACTGTAGTGCGCCTGTATGTAATGTAAAATTTTGCTAATGCTATTGCATGTTCATTCCTGTGGGGGAGACAGTGGCATCTTATGGGGGGGATGACCATATTTGGGATGTTCCAGTAATGCGTGCAGTGTATCAAGCTAGCGTCACCGATTCACCCCTGTAATTATTCCAGTTTATTGACTGTACTTAATTTCTTAATTACACCTTAGTAGTGTTATATGCATATTAGTTTAGTTATAATTATGTTCTTAAGTATTACTCTCTGATAGCAGAGTATGTAGAGATTTCATGTTTTTAGTTCGTAACTTGTATACTCCATGCGGGAGCACGCCAGTCGCGTGGGTGGAGCTGGCTGGGGTGAACATGTGAGATAAGTCTCGGATACCTGTTTATTGTTTAGTAACATAGCTAAGTGCCTGGTTAGACCATTATCTGCATACCCATCTATTCATTTAAGTTTTAAAATAGTGATCAGTACTTATCTATATATAAACATGTGTTAATTAATTCTGGTGAAATAATATTTCTGGCTTGTCTGTATTTCATATATATGTTTGTATGTTTCTTTGTTACCCTTACTTGTAGTATATTGCTTTGCTGGTTAAGCAGTCTTATTATTTACCTTAGACATCTATAGTAGGCAAGGCCGCATTCTTATATATTTTGGTAACTGCAAAAGCAGAGGAACCATACCCAGAGGTCAAGGGTTATAACAACTTTCATAACTAATTTTAAAAAGTTATTTCTTTTCATTGCATTTTGCATTAGCAAAATATGTGCCAAATCTGTTCTAAATGACACATTGTAGAAAGTTATAGATACTGTACAGTATTAACTATATTCGACCTGTGATATCAGAAGTTAGAGTTCATAAAAACTGGAAAAAACACTTTGAAGAATAGACACAGTAAAGAACAGAGTTAACAGGGAAAAAAAAGATAAAACTAAGGTAAAGGAGGAGGGGAATTTTTAAAGACGTACACCTGTACGTTTGAGTAAAATGACATCAGTGCCACCCACAGATGAGGTAGATATTGCTTGGGCTTTCTTTCAACTTCAAAACACGATTATGTGTGGAGCAACATCCTCAAACATAGCGTAGTTTCAGGGGAAATTGTACGTCAAACAATGCAAAAAAAATTCAGAACCATAATTATGGGTGCAATGCTATTTGCAAAAAAATCAATACAAACACATTATTAACACCTGTTACTAAATTTAATATATAATTACAAATGATAACAGAAAACACTTCATTATAATGTAAATACAGCCTTACTGGAGAGCAGATAACTTCAAAGTGGCCTTTTAAACATAAAAAGGTTCTCCACCTCTGGGTTAGACTAATATCCATAACAAAGTTAAAAAAATAAAAATGTTACAATTCTGTCCAGCATCTGGATTTTAACTAGAGCATTTACACTCCAAAAGCATCATGCCACCAAATTCGGAATAGTTTGACAATACATACACTAAAACTCAACATTTATAACCATCAATGTATCATGCTGAACCATAATTTAACTTTTTAACATGCAGTGACATTCAATGTGCAAGCAAAAGATCAGAGAAATGTTCCTTAACATTAACCTACATACCTATTTTCGAGAATTTCATTTTAGTAGGTCTAGTAGAAAGTTTAAATGGCTTCAAGTTTAATATAACAAGCAACAGCTTTTAAAATCTCTCCATATTATTAAAACCTCTTAACATTAAATAAAATAACAGGATCATAAAATAACACATTATTTGACAATGAATGCATCAACTATGACAAATGTCAAAGAAATTCACAGTAAAATGTAATTATTAACACAGCTAATTTTATTATCGAAAATTACAACTACAAAAAACTCACTTGCAAAGGAATAACAGATAAATTTAATCACAAACATATGTATAATTTGTTTAAACTAAGTACTCTATAATAGAGCATATTAGGGAACCAATCTTACCATTTCCTTCAAGTTCCTTACTGTTTCCCATTACGTCTCCCTCCTTATCCTTATGCTCTTCATCTTCCTGTTTTCCTTTGGTCTCCAAGCATGGTTCAAGACTACTCTCAGCGTCCATAACTAAAACAAGCATACATGCATTATGTCACCCTAAGCAGATCAGCAGTGTTGAACCTTAAGAAGGCCTCTGTAAGACCTACAGTCCTATGCCAGGATCAAATAATCTTTTGGTCAGTACCAGGGGGTGTCTGGAGCAAGAAAAGTTAAGCTGAAAAATCATTATCTAATAAAATCTGGGTTACATTACTTTCTTGGACATTCCTACAATGAGTTGGGCAAACACCCAAAAAAATAAAAAAATAAAACAGAAAAGTGGCAAAAGCCTCCCCCCAAAAAGTGGCAAATGCCCAACAAAATACTGTAGTGTCAAGTGCCCAATAGGAGTGTTGGCAGTTTTTTTTGTTGGGCGTTTGCTACTTTTGCATTGAGTGTTTGCCACTTTTTTGTTGGGTGTTTGGAAATTTTTGTTTGGACGTTTGGGATATTTTTGTTGGAAGTTTGATTATTTTTTGTTGTCTGTTTTGCAATTTTTTTTTGAAGGAGGGGGGAGGAGGAGGAGGGGGGGGCTTTTTTCGGCCTTGTTTTGTTGGCAGGCACTTTTTTGTTGGGTATTTTGAATTTTTGTTTGGTGCATTTTGGATTTTTTGTTGAGCACTTTGATTTTTTTTTGGAGGGACATTTTGGATTTTCTTTAGTGGGTTTTTTTTTTTTGGGGGGGGGGAGGTGTTTTAGTTTTTTTTGTCTACATTTGGGAGATTTTTGTTGGACATTTATTTTCTGTTGGTCGTTTGGGATTTTTTTCTGCCTTTTTATTTGTTCGTTTAGGAGATTTTTGTTTGACGTTCGAAGTTTTTTGTTGGGTGTTTTGGCACTTTTTTTCTTAAGAATTTTGGAATTTTTTATTTTGTTGGTCATTTTAGCTTTTTATTCGCCATTTTGGATTTTTTTTTTTGTTGGGTTTTTTGGATCGTTGCAAGACTCTGGGTTCTAGGTGTCACTTACCCAACAGGCAGCATGGTGGAGTCTATAAAGAATAATTGTTGGCTAGTAGCAAGACTGATAAGCACCCTTCAAATTTGCATGTGGCAAATGAGAACTTGAATGATAAGAGCAATGACAAGCTATGCCTTAGACCCCCAGTGTCTGAAGATAACTAGTTAAGCAAGACATCCAGGCACTAGGGACGCTCACCAAAAGAACAGACAATCATCACAGCCTGTAACAACGTGGTTACAAAGTGTCCATTGTGCTATATAGCCAAGTGCACGTGTGTCCTAATGCACCCCATTCATAAACAATTAGGACACCTTCAACCAAGAACCTGCATACAGGAGTCAACAGCTCTTGTACTACCTAGGGTGAGGCTCTCCACCCGTGGCCAGGCCTCTCGGGGGACAAACTCCCAAACACACCAGAGAAGTGGTTTATAATTTTAAAAGCAGGTATGATAGAGAAATAGGCCAGTAGCATTAGACAACCAACTGCTAGAAAATTAAGGTCCAAGGGCCAGAGCTCGGTTCTGCAGGCAGGGGTAGAGCTAAATGAGCACACAGGAAAGGTAACTTTAAGTACATGCAGCCTGAAGTGCAAAACAAGCCAAGTCCACACAACCAAGCCGGGAAAGACAGCACGCGCATGAATTAAATACTCAAATAAGGTAACAAAACATAAGCAAAAAGGCCCCCATGGGACAAAGTCCAAACGATGACCAGAACATAGCCGAGAAGCAGTGGGACCTGCTACAAAGGATGGTTCACACTAAAGGAATCAACCATATCGATGACAGGACTGACCTTGGTGCTGGACGTGGTCCAGGGCTCCGGGCTGCCCGGTGTTAGTTATCAGTACTAATGAATTTGTGCTAGTTTCAAGTGAACCAATTGTTTGACATGAATTTGCAGAGTTGTTTGGCAGTTTTGATGCTTCATTTTCTATGAACCTTGCAGCTGTCTGTAAAACTTCATTTTCTGGAAGCATTCCTAGCAAGGGTTATGTTAATAATCCTCTGCTCTTTTTGCCTCTGTGAGGTGGCCAGGTTCTGGCTCTGGTTCCTGCTAGGCCAAACAGGAATCCTACAATGATGTGACCCAGTAGTGGTGAGCCATCTCAGTGAGATCGCGAGGGAGCCACAAATGGGGTCCTCCTAGAAACATGCATGTGAAGCAAAAAAAACTGCAACACATATGTGGTACACAAACATGGGGCCACAGGTGGAATCTTAGTACCCAAATGAGCAACAGGGGCATTGGAAAGAAATTTTTCAGTGTTAGAGTAGTTAACAAATGGAATGCATTAGGACATGATGTGTTGGAGGCAGACTCCATGCACAGTTTCAAGTGTAAGATTTGATAGAGCCCAATAAGTTCAGGAATCTGTAAACTAGTCGACTGACAGTTGAGAGGCGGGACCAAAGAGCCAAAGCTAAACTCCCGCAAACACAGCTAGGCAAGTACACACACGCCTCTATGTGACAAAGTCTCGAAAGGATAACCAACACTCAGCTTGAGCAACGTCAGGAAAGCAGATATGGCACTAGAAGCTGCTGACACCACCACCCCATGTGCATGATAGAGGTGAGCAGCCAGCAGGGGGGGGCCACGTTTCAGGCGCTGTCATACCAGTTGGGTTTGGATAACATGTGTTATCATAACACACAGATATCACAATAGCGTGATGCATCAAATGAACATATCCACAAGGGCCGTGACGAGGATTCGAACCTGCATCCATTCACATATTCCTGTGTGTAATGAAGTAAGGGCGAAGAGGTAGAACGGCCTATTGACATAGCTCAAGTGCATGGGGGAATTGTGTAAAATCGTGGTTTGTGTTTCGGAGAGGCTGCAGGATCCAAGTAAATTCAGTAGAATTTCTGGTTGCAATTCTTATACCATGTCGTAGCTCAGTTGATTAAGGCAGCGTCTGGGATGCTCTCGGATGCAAGTTCGAATCCTTGTCACAGCCCTTGTGGATTTGTTCGTGTGTTGTCAGGGTTAACAATGTTTTCATGCAGTTCCTTGGTTTCAGGTGGTCTATCTTTCTGATGATTTTTACATTTGACCTGGACCAATCTAGTATCTCCAGACATCCCCTTGCCCCTACTGCAGGGGCCCAGATTCTGGTCATGGTTCCGGTTAGGAGCTAATTACTCACAAGAGCCTTGAGGGGTACTTTAGACTGAGCTAACTAGGTGGATAGCTCAGGAAGACACAAACGGGAGTCCTCCCAGAAAGTCTTTTCATACGATAGAAAATTATGCAAACATGATAATATACTGTACAAAAAATATTGTTTTATATTCTGTAGTTTAGCTGCAATGTAATAGTGAAGTTGTAGAATAATGGTGGCTAAGGGCTGGTGGTACTCGGTGAGTGAGGGTTAAAGGCTGTGGTATTTCAGGCGGGGTGTATATTTCCTACAAAGATGATAAATTAGAGAAAACTGCAAATTGGATTGTCTTCTAATTTTTTAAAATGAAAAAGAAATGGGCCTAAGAGATTAAGTTCAAGCTACTTTTACACCCTGGTACATGAACATGATCAATAAATAAATCAACATTACAAAGGAGCTTTTTTCATAGCGAAGATGCACTGTCTATGATGTCCGAGCAAAGAATATACAGTATAAATTCTATAACTACGAGCTATAGTGTAACATAATGCAAGAGTGCATGTAGCTTTGAAAACAATATCTTCTTATATTATCAAGCATTTTTCATTGCCAATGTGAAAAATTAATTCATCAAACAAGCCAAAAGAAGAAACCATTTACTGTAATAATTAAATGACATATGGTACGTGTAAATTATGGTAGAAGCATAAATATGAAAAAAACTCCAAAATTATTAATAAAAAATAAAATAAAGGTACAGACAGCGTAATATACTGTGATTACATAACACTAATATTGTAATAATAAAAACAAAGTTTCCATTTGGTAATGTAAAATTACTTGAAAATGTTAAGAACATTAAATTAGGAGTAAATACTGCTATGCCTTCAAATCTAAAAATATAAATTAATTAATAATTACAAAATCTTAAGAGCTTACATGAAGAACAACTCTTTGGGGGGGGAAAAAAAAGCAGCCCTGCAAAATGCAACAAATGCAAGCTCACACTACTCCCTGAAGGATTTATTCCAGCATTCTTATTTTGTATTAATTATTCTGGATGCACTCTAGTCTTAACTGCAAACTATATAAAGCTATCCTATCAGTCCTACCTTTAGTGACCCCCCTTTTAGAAAAAGTCCAACATAGTGTTGAATTAAATGTGCTATGACTGTATATGAGTCCGATGGAACAGTTTCTTCAGAAATAATACTCATTATGGATATGTGTATTCAAATGAACCACAATTACAAATCAATGCTCTCCATACATATAATTATCTGTCCAGTAGTTTGAAAAAATCTTTACAATTTATGAGCTTTTATTAACAACACTGTGTTGGACAATCAAGGATCAGAAAAATCAAGCATTGCAAATCTTACACTAGCCTAAAATCAAGCTTTCATATAATATATAAATATATACTGTATGTATATGACAATCATATACAAAGCACTTACAACTTGAATCAAGGATGGAAGATGAACGTGATTTATTCTCCTGTGCCTCTAAGAGTGGCTCTAAAAGAGACAGTGGTGGCAAAGTTGATTCTGGACAGTAGGCAGCACCAGGGCCTTTAAACAGAGAAAAAAATTCAAATCGGTAGGCAGCAATGTTGCCTACAAATTGATTGATTGACATATTCTGTAATTTATATGGAACTAACCATGAGGAAAAATGGTGCTGAATACAATAAAATAAACCAAACCAGATTCTTTGATAAAATGATTTATTCCACTTATTGAGAAAGTAACAATGATGGAAGCACATGGAAGAGTAACCTGGTGGTTTTTCTTCAGATTACTGAAGGGGCCAGATTCTGATACTGTACTGACTTCCGACAGGCGCTTGTGAATTCGAGAGCCACCGATGGGGCCCTCTCAGAATACATATAACAAAATTTACAATGGAAAATCTACAAAAGATCATCATTACATCTTGAATGCAATGAAATGCTTCTTTTTGGAGGGTCCCCTTCACCGAGCTACCCACCAGGAGTCCTCCAAACCCAGGCACAACACTAGGCTCTTAACAAATCACGAGCGCCCTCCAGAGGCCAGGACCAGAATCTGGCACACAATATAAAGGCATAGAGCTACAAAATCAGCAGCATTACTAAAGGGAATACCACCAGAAAAGCAGAGTGCAACAAAACAAGAAACTGCTAGGACAACATTTGAAACCCTGATTCAAACAAGGTCCACACTAGTTGTCAAGGTCAAACCACTAGTTAGCCCCACACCCAAGCAAGACTCTACAAACACAACGGGAAGAAGTAAAGGGCGTGAATGGGAAAATACTGAGGGGGGCACACCAGAAAGAGGCATTTTATTACATTTAACTCATGATTTCAGGGAGATATCCCTTCTTTATGTTCCGAGCCATCTTGCCATGGAAAGAAAAACAACAAAAGGGCAGACTGTAGAGGGAAGGGAGCAGAAGAGTCAGAAGACAGAAAATATAATCCATGAGATAAATTCAAAACCATTTTTGCAAATACAGTAGCACAATAAGTACTCTCAGGACAAAGGAAAAACAAATAAAATAAAATGGAATAATAGTTTTTAGCAGGTCAGTCAATTGAGTTAAGGGATCTAAGAAAAGGAGTATTAGGACAGGAAGCTGCTATTGAAGTATTTAAGGAGAGAAAACAGATTGAAAATACCTTCATAAAGGTAGACTGAGACAGGCCCACCCAGGTCTAATACAGGAGGGTATACAATATTTAAAAAAATACACATTAGTTTTCAAATACATACATATTGTGCTGTACAGTATTACCATGATCAATAATATTAAGTATATTTAGAAAACCAAAAAATTAAAATTTTTACAGGTTCACAGGTTATCTTTCAGAAACATGTCTTGACTGACTGATTACAATGATCCCTATGATATAAAATAAGTCTCTCACCTCCACAGCCCCCATTTATGTGGTTGAGCCCTTCTGTGGAGTCTTGTGAGCCTGTGTCTGCCCCACACAATACATCCTCATCCAAACTACTGCTTCGGTCTATATACGGAAGAGGTCGGTGGACACGACTCATTACAGCTGAAGCAAGCAAATGGAATTACACATTTAAATGAAGAATAACCTGGGTGGAAATGAATACTGGTACCTGTAAGCTACTATAAAAAGAGAGCAAATATGGTTGACATAATTATTCTACAAAGCTGGTGTATCATACATGTAAGTAGCACTATTACTGCAGCATCTACTTTATACAGATTAATAAGGATATATTGGAAAGTGATAATATCTCAGATGAAGTATGTAACAAGTATGTGAAGTGCAAACATTCAAAAGAATCAAAGAGATAGTGTAAAATACATTATTTTATCAGATAAAGGATTGGGACCTTTGTTCAAAACAGCATATGTATTTTATGTTATCGCAAAATTCTACTAGTCCCTTGGGTAGGATATGGAAGTCAAGGAAGGTCAACACTGCATTAGGGCAGTGAAGATTAAAAAAATGTATAAATCTTTGTTGGATTATAATGGTGCCTGGGTAACACTGGAGATTATTCAATCCTAGAACAATCTCCATAATGTTTATTTCAATAAAATCAAAACCCTTCCAAGTGCTACTATGCATCACAAGGACTACTAAATAGTTCTCTCTAAACTATTGAATATTCCACCTAGCCGTTACACCTCAATGCCACCGGATGGCACCACCTACAAGATTACAGGGTACTCCGCCTCAAACAAAACCACATTCCTTTTGACTGGTCCTAGCTCGATTAACACATCGCATACCGTTCATGCGCGCCGCAAAAATGATGTCATGCGCCGTTTAGTGCGGGTGAGCGTGCGGCGACACTGAAAAGTGTATAAGTTTCAGTTTTTTCACCTTAATTCTCATGCTACGTTGTTCGTTTTGGTATCAGTGTGTTCACAATAGAATTCCCTACAGGGGCAGATGCATATAAGGTCCAAAAGCCCACCATGACTCCCCACAGCAAAGCCTAAAGTCGGCCAAGTTACCCGTGAGCGCGCAAAATCAGTATAATGTGTATACTCGTTTCAGTTTTCTCACCTTATTTCTTGTGCCACGTCGTTTGTTTTCGTATCAGTGTCTTTGCAATAGAATTCTCTACAGGAGTATATACATATAAGGTCTAAAAGCCCAGCGTGACTTCCCACAGCAAACCCTAAAGTTGGCCAAGTTACCCGTGAACGAGCACCAATTGGCATACCTGCAGACTAATGTACATACTCGTTCAGTTTGGTAAAATAAATTTTCGTGGTACTTGTTTCATTTTGGTATCAAATTGTTCGCAAAATAAAGGCGCATATTTTAAAACTAGTCCCATAATAATAGAACAATAAATGGAATTTTAACAAATATTTTAACCTTTGGACGCTCATCACCACAAAATTATTTATATATTTCCAGTGTTCTGACACCAATTTTCGTGTTTCGTCTTTCATTTTGGTATCAAATTGTTCGCAATATAAAGGCGCGTATTTTAAAACTAGTCCCATAGTAATAGAACACCAATAAATGGAATTTTAGCAAATATTTTAAAATTTAGACCACAAAAGTATTTATCTTTCCAGTGTTCTGACACTGACACTGGATAAATTTTTGCGTCACGTCTTTCATTTTGTTATCAGATTGTTCGCAATATAAAGGCGCATATTTTAAAACTAGTCCCATAATAATATACTGTAACTCTAAATGGAATTTTGACAAATATCTTAACTTTTGGACACTTTTGGACGCTCATCGCCACAAAATTATTTATACTGTATCTTTCTAGTGTTCCGACATCAATTTTCGTGTTACGTCTTTCATTTTGGTGTCAAATTGTGCACAATCTATAGGCACTCATTTTGAAACCACTCCCAGATTGATCGAATAAAATTTTAATTTTTAACCAATATTTTAATGTGTGACTCCGGACCTCGTCACCTCGAGACGACTCAAGACAAAAATGAGCAACGACGGGTGGCGGCAACGGAGTGCGATAGTGTTAAGTGCAGGCAGAGACCAGAATTCGGTTATGTGGCTTGTGTTATCCCTAGAAACATTTATTTTTATTGGCAGTGGACATTGGTCTCTGCTACTTCACTAGTTTCTTTGGGTTTAGTCCTCTCAGCCATTCACAATCACAGGTCAAATATACTATAAGATATAATCTCTCTTTAAAATCTGGATGCAGTTGAAACTCAACAAAAAGTCCTACCTGTGGCTTTGCATTACATTTAGTATTCCTCAAGTGGATCTTTTCCACATCAGCAATCACCCATGAGTTCCCTATCTATGTAGCAGCATTCCAAGATCACAATGTATTCACAGTGGGTACCATGCATGTCGACTAAAATTAGAAGAATTTTCTACTCCAGTTTGGATGTGTCCATCAGCTGGAGAGATGAGAGTAGCATACTCGCTCCTTGAACTTTTTGATTGGATTAGCCTTGGTTCTTGACTTTTTGACCAAATATCTCAACCCACTTTTTCTTCCCACAAAATATTGGCAGCCTGACAGTGGATCAGGCAAGCAACCAGAAGACCTGGTCAGAAACCAGGCTGCGGGGACATTGATTCCCGGAACCTTCAACAGATAGTCTATTTTCTTAGGACCTCTTCTGAATGTCATGTGGTGCCCTGGAGTATAGTTCAGAGGTACTGTATTTAGCCCAGTATATAGTCTTATCTCTTTCTGTGGCTACCCTATTGACCACAAGATATTCGAGCCTGTTTTTTCCTGGATTTATCCTGTGCTCTCTGTACCAAGATTAAGTATTGCATCATGCTTCACATCATGTTGGCATCTCTTCATTAATCCATCAATTATGGCTTTTTGTTTAAAAAAAAAAAAAAAAAAGTATATTTGCAAGTCATTTCTCAGAATGGTCAAAATACGATGGGCATATGCATTTCCTTGACCCATGACCTTTAAAATTCAAGCGAGGGACTTCTGCAATCAATTCCTATATTTAGTGTCCTGTATTCATATATTTTGTCCTAAATTTACCTCTATTCCTAGTTATGCTTGGGACTTTATTGCCAAAGCCATATTTTTTGATGCTGTGTGAGTACTTAGCTCTTTGCTAGTATGTGTTGTGCTTGGATGATGGTTCAGTATGTGTATATCAGGGAAATTTAACTGTCTGATGATCTGGTAATAATTCTTTCCTCCCTCCCTTTCATTGCCTGCTCCCCTATTTCAGAACCTCACTTTTCTGCTAGCCATTACATGTGCATTCTGCAAGGGTTTGTGGCCACCATTAATGATCTGTTAGCTGTTGCTCCTGAACTTTATGTCGGAGATATGTTGTCCTCATGCCTCTGCTAGTTGGGAAGCACTATGCCTCTGCTAGTTGGGAAGCACTGTCATTTTCTACCAGTTCAGTTTCTACCTCCCATGCTAACAGCATTCCTTGGAGGTGCATGCTAGGGCTCGCCCAATCAATGTAGCCTAGGTGATTTTGAGGTCTCTCCCAGCTCTGTCTGTACCAGCATCCCCCCCCCCCATGCCCTTTGTGTAGTCTTTGCTGGTACTTGAAAGTTGCAAAGAAGATGTCTGTTGTCATTGTCCTCTTCTGCCTTTCTTTTCTCTTGAGGCTATGAGGGCCTCTTTTAATGACCCTCTTATTATTCACTTTTGTCTTGGCTTAGAGTGCCTTCCTTGGAGCTCTGTCCCTTGCCACTTAGTTATTGACATGAAATGGATAGGAGGAGGATTGATCCAAGGGTTGTTTAGACAAGTTCTGTATGCTAGCAAAAATTTGTGTTAATACTTATGGCAATTTAGTACAGTAGCTACAGTACTGTAACATGAACCAACTCCTACAAAATTTGCAGAGGAACAGTCACCAAAGTAGTTGTGTGTGCTTGTATGTAATGTGAGATGAACACACGAATAAAACCAGTGGAAAGTGGTACAAATATTAAAGTTATTACAGTATATATGATGTATTTACAGTATTTGTGAAGTACTTTCAAAACATTACAGGACTGATGCAAAAATTATAAGGGCAGGGGTAGGATGAAACAAGTAAGAGTGTATGCTTTTTATGCATTTATGCATTCAGAATAGTATGGAGTGATGAGTGACTTTTTTAGGAAAAATTTTAAAATTAAAAATTTGTGAAATATGCTCTCTATGGCAGCAGACCTTGCACAGTCAATTACACATTAAAAGTCTAAAGGTACGTATTATCATCTTGTATACACTTTACTATTTATCGTAAATTATATAACAGTTATCTTAAGCCAAATGTTATAATACCATCATAAGTATCAGAGTCTGCTGGGGTGGTGGGAAGGGAAGTTGATCTCCCAATGTTCCTGAGAGACACTCTGTTTACAGTTGGTGGTTCTCTTAAAATGCTCGAGCTTTCTTCCACAACTTCCTTCTCACATCTTCCAGCATACCGAAAACGTGACCCTCGTGAGAAAAAAGACCCTCCTGTTACCACCACACCTTGTTTGTTTGAATTCTGTAATCTGTGAAAAAAAATAAGTGTTAAAGACCATTACTCTACAATATATATCTTATTTAAAAATGTTAATTACAAATCACTTAAATTTCCATCTACAAACTATAACCCAAATCGTTTTAAATCTTTTATTTAACTATAGTTACAGCAGTGTCTAAGATCACTAATTCAGATCATATGGGGGATGTCCATAATACAACTTATGTGGAAATTTGAATTAGCTGAATTTATTACATATTAAAACAAAATGAACAAATCCAGTTTTTTTTACTACAACCGAATTACTTTGTCTTTCCACGTACAATAAATATATTTACATTGTTAGGGGAGGACCTTCACAGAAATAAGAGAGATTGACAATATCAGAATCTTTCAACTTACCTTTGAGTTAACAGCTGTCTTGATCTCAAAAGTTAAATTCTGTACAGTATATTAACTTGACTCAAATTATGGAACAAGTGCTTATACTACATGTATTTCTCTCTCCTTTTCTTAACAACAGATGCAGTACTTGTGCTTACCCCAAATTTTCACCTAATGCACATTCGCAATGCCATTTGTACAAGATTTAATGACTAAGCTCATCATTAAGGGCCGAAGCATCGAAATCTTGAAAAAAATTAAAAGAAACTCGGGATGTAGTAGAACATTTCTGAAAATACTGTACTTTAGGATTGTGGCAACACTTGACATACCACAATGTAAGGCCCTTGTGATGTGTATACTACAAACATGCCCTTTTTAACTGTTACACTGCTACAGCCTGGGCTGTAAATGGGGGTATAAGCTGGGGCTGGGCAAAAATATATTTGAATTATGTGAAAATTAATATTAAATGTTAAACAAATCTCCAACTTATTGGCTTCAGCGTCATGAAAGTTTCATCCCAATATTTTCAGAAATGGATTTTAAACAATTTGTTTGGAAAGAAGAATGTTTTGTTGATAAGGAGAACAGCTCCTATTAACTGGAACTGAGGGATAATGCAGTAATAAAGAGATGCAAGTACCTGTCCGATGCACAAAGAAGAATAGTAGTTAGAAGTGCCCACAAAGTGGATATGAAGCTCGTGCCTTTATAGCATTGCCGAGTAATACAAAATAACACAAATAATAATACTGTAAGTAAGTATGTTATTATGCTCCATTTTGTTATATATCAAATACATTATCCAATGGTATTACCCGTTTCTTTCACCAATGTCCACAAATTTTATTTAAGGAGAGATTTGTTTTCTTTGTTTATTATCTGATTTTGTTGTAACCTCTACATCCTGGAGAATGCATACCCGTCCCCAACTATGTCAAGATAGAATTAAATTGGTCAACAAATAAATCAGTCATAACTGGCAGAACTTAGGACTGAATTTTTTTGGCTGATTTTTTCACAAATGTCAAACCAACTTTTCAAATTTTCCTTGTTTCTTTAGATTGTTTTGATGATTAGGGACCAGATTAGGGCTTTTTGACCTATATAAAGTATCCCCAAAATATATATAAAATCATAATTATTATAATAATCCCTATTTATATGTATATTTTTTTTTTGGGGGGGGGGAGGGGGGTAATTTTTCTTTACTTCATTTCAACATATATTGACCAATAACTTTCACATATTCGAGTATGAATGACCAACAATGTTTATTAAAACAGCGTGTGCGTGTGTGTGTGTGTGTGTTTGTGTGTACTCACCTAGTTGTGCTTGCAGGGGTTGAGCTTTAGCTCTTTGGTCCCGCCTCTCAACTGTCAATCAACAGGTGTACAGGTTCCTGAGCCTATTGATATGACCCATCACAGGGTTGTGATGGGTCACTCTGTTTATGATACATGGGTCGCCAGATGAAAAAAAAAAATTCTCTACTTTAGAATAGAAATACACTATACAGCTTGTACATAGTTTTAACAATCGATATTTGTTTAAAAACTAACGTTTTTATTTATGTTGTGCTATTAACACATTGTTGTAATGCAAATGAATGTTACGAACCAAGGCTGACGTATATTATTCAATAACACTGCAGCAAAGCCAAGAAATTCCGATTTCTGTCTGAAACAAGTGACACTTAAACTCTGACTCGATTTTGGCAGAATTATCCAGTACCAAATTGTGAATTAGAGAGCAGCTACTGAATGATCCCAAAAATGTACTACAGTAATTATAAGTACACCAATCCTAAAGTTTTCCCAAAATGATGTGCATTATTAGTGGCTTTATAACACACATACAAAAAAAATACACATACAGTACCTACTATGTAACTGCTGTAATCAGATCTTCTGAATTTTATACTAGATATGATTTTGAAGGTACCATTACAAAAAATGCCAAACTCCTAAAAGAAAACTTCATGTAGTACTACAGTATGAACACATGGAGATGCAGCCTCCTTTACAAATGGAATTAATGAAATATGGCACCAAAATAATGTGAATAATTTATACTTGATATTTATATTTATTACCTTTATTAATTCTCATAGGTTTTTAACTTAAGAGGATTATGTTAATTATTTAAAGATAAAAGTAATTCTGTAAAATTAAGGTTACCATTCAGCACATACGTGTAAAATAATCTCTGCTCAACTGCACATCTCCAAAGGTGTCTGCAAGCTGATGCTGTTGGGCACTTGAATCCCACAGTGTGCTTCTTCTGTAAGTTCAACAAAATTTAAGTAAGTATAGTCATTAAAAAGTGCAATCTTAATGTCATATCTGTGCTGTAAAGTAATTACCCAAAATAAAAAAAAAATCACTAATATTATTATTACCTCATTTTCACATTTTCATGATGTGGGGGAAGCATTGGCCCAAAGAAAAATGGTGAATAATGTAGTTAAATATCAAAGATATTAAAAAAGATAAATACCATCATTCATGTGCTGTATTATTCACACAATACAACATCACATCTAATCATACAGTTAGTCAGCTTGTTGTGAGGTTGCATCCTGGGAAACCTCGATACAAGCCTAGCATATTATATATACACTGGCTGTTTGTCCCCCTGACATAGCAAAATATTAAATAAATTATATGCACTCAAATCACACTATAGAATGAAGATGCAACATGAGATAGGTGAGTAGGTGAGAGATCAGTCTCCGTGGTGTAGTGGTAAGACACTCGCCTGGCGTTCCGCGAGCGCTATGTCATGGGTTCGTATCCTGGCCGGGGAGGATTTACTGGGCGAAATTCCTTAACTGTAGCCTCTGTTTAACGCAACAGTAAAATGTGTACTTGGATGAAAAAACGATTCTTCGCGGCAGGGGATCGTATTCCAGGGACCTGCCCGAAATGCTACGCGTACTAGTGGCTGTACAAGAATGTAACAACTCCTGTATATATCTCAAAAAAAAAAAAAAAAAAAAAAAAGATACAAAATAATTTACACTTTGAAAATATTACAAGGGCTAGTTCCAAATCTGCACATGGATAGTCCACATGAGACTAGGAAGCATGGCAGGAAGTGCAAAATATCCATGTTGGAAAGCAGAGGAGCAACAGGAATGTTAAAAGCTAAAATGCTAAAAATGCTAAAACCTAAGAAGCATAACTAGCTGACCTCTCACCCTGTTCAAAAGGGAACATGATAAAACATCTCCAAAGGATACCTCATCAACTTGGCTGTGATTCATATGCCAGGCTGCAAGCACCTGCATTTTACAGTCTGGTTGACCAAACCACCAATTGGGAGGCCTGATCAGAGACTGGGCCGCAAGGACAGTGATTCCCGGAACCACCACAAGGAATAACTACGTGCCACTGGTACACAATCTTATATCATAGCATGTCATTTCAAATTGATAAAGTTCCACAGGTCTAGGTTAACTCCATTACATTTATATAGATGTATTATAACCACAAACTTTGGTGGAATGGAGTAAATTATGATTTGAAGATACCCACAGACACTAAACCTGATACAATCATTGCATAATCAGCCATTACAGAATGATAACCTAGACCCCATGAAACATTATGCAAAGTTTATTATATCCATACAGATTTACTATAATCATATTTATATAATTGTTAGAAAATCAGTCAATATAACTAAAATCATGATATGATGATTACTGCACTGTCCCAGATCAAAATATGACATTAACTAATATTTAAGGGTTATAATTACTTAAAAATACATGCATTTATGACTAAAAGAAGTGATTTGAACCTCTACTAACCTTAGTTCTTGCATCCTAGTGCACAGCATGCAAATCATGGTGAACCATCAGTAACAGTTTATCTAAAACAAGAAAATTGATAAATATACAAACTAATGAGCAATGTTCTAGCTAGAACATCAGTTATGTAGGCAAGTGTGGAACTTCTGCTACAACTTGAATTCTCACGAAGATGTATTATTCTCATAGTAAAAAGTCAAGAGAGAGAGATTGATAGAAGGGAGAACACAACAATTGTGGCAGGAATTGAAAAACTTTGAACAAAACCATGAACTCGAGTTGAGAGAACATGGAGAAAAAAAAATACCGAAGGTACAGAAATGCCTCTTCCTGGTGGGTTCAAGGTGGTTCCCTGTTGTTAGCCACTCTAGATAGACCTATATCAAACTGCATCAGGCCCTTGAGTAATTAATAGCCTACTGAAGACAAGAGGCCAAAACTTGGCTCCTGCCTCCCCCCTCCCCATCAGAGGGGTGCACAGAGCAAAAGATACTAGGGCATGTTATTCAAAGAAAATGCCATTAAATCACACAACAGTTAGGTAAACAAACAAAACAGAAAATGAGACACCCAGAAGTTAGATCCTCACCACTATTTCCACCTGCCCACCACCAGGTGGTAGCACCTGGAGCTGTTGGCTCAGGAGGTGGACCACCTTCAGTCATGAGCTGAACTAAGGCCAACTGAAAGTTATATTCAATCCTGGGTTTCTGGGTGGGCTTTCACGGCGACTTCCTATTGCTATCTTACTACATAGAAACACAAAAATGGGGACACAAGGGAAAAGATGAGAGAACAAATCAGGCACCCGATAAAAGCAGCAGCACTGCCAGAGAACCAAAGACCCTAGCAGATCAAGCCACAAACAAACAAGGGGGGCCCCCTGAGAAACTAAGACCACAAACAAGTGAAATCCCCCTAAAAATATGGAATGAAGAAAAACAAGGGACAAGCAAAATAAAATTCCAAAAACTACATCACTGATGTGATGAAAAACACCATCAGTGGAATCGCATGCAAAAATATACCAAGGCCCGGAGAAACTGGAACCACGGTCAACGACCGGGCTGCGGGGACGCTAAGCCCCGGAAGAACCTCAAGGTAACGGCCAAGCCAAAAGATAATGCACACACAAGATAATTACAAGTATATATATATAATTATATTACTTAATTAAATTATTTATTTTAAGATAATTTATATTCAAACTTTCATACTGATAAAAGATGAATTATAACAGATTTAACAAAATGTATATGTGTAAAATCTACTTTAAAATTAAATTTTAATATATCTGCAAGCAACAAAATTTCTCTTATTGTATTTATTGTATTTTCTAATGCACATTACTTTTATTGTATTTGCTAATGCACATCTATACTGTTTACCATACTGCAAGGTTAATGTAGATAAAAGTAATAAACCTCATTGCTAAATTATTTACACAAATAATTGTACCTCAGCAAAAATAAGATGCACAATAAACATCTTGCCCTCATAATTCAGTTTCTGTACATCACCCCATCGGAAGTGATGTGTCTTGCGGGAGCCCTGAAACGTCAAGACTCCGGTGTGGTTCAGACCAAGATAAAGTTGACTTCCTCTGTGATCCTGATAATGGTAAATAACAGTTAGAATTTTAATAACAAGAGAATATCAAGTACAAAACAATCATAAATCACACTGTACAACCTATTTATGAATGTACTGTAAATAGATAAATGCATATACTATATTGTACTGAACAGTACAGTACATCAATAGACGTATATACAATACAGGCTTACATTCCATACTTTTCTATACTCGGTAATCCAAATCATATGGAGCCTCATCCCTACTTGACAGCCAAATTTCTTACCAAGAATGTCCAAAAATGAACAAATTCACTTTATTGTACCACCATCTGGTTACTCCCACCAATCACCCGCGCATTTTCATGGTTTATCTGCTTACTCTTATTATTTATTCGAAAACAATCGACATGAATTCATTCGGATTACCGAGCTCTTACAGTACACACACACAGACACACACGGGTGTATATACAATTACTGTATACACATACATCCATAGTATATAGGCAAAAAGTTTGTATTATTAAATGTATATCAAACTGAAGTTTTAATGTACTTTAATATTTTAAAACAAATATACCGTAACTGTGTACATTTATGGTAAAAAGTAAATATTTTCCCTGTATTCTAAAACCACTAATGAATGTAAAGAATTGCCCCTTTCTGGTAGAGCCCCAGTGGCATCTTGCTGAGATGGCTCCCCACTGCTGGGTCACATCAGTCGCAGCAGTCCTATTTAGCCTAATAGAGACCAGATACAGAACCAGGTCCCTTTCGCCCCACCCCTCAGAGGCACCAGGAGCAGGGGACAATGATCATCATCCTTACTAGGAAAACATCTAAAAAGTCAGTGAAGCTTTACAGGCAACTGCAAGATTCATAGGAAACTAAGCATCAAACAGCCAGATGATACTGAAAACAATTCACTCCAACCAACAAGTTTATTCAAAACTAGTTCAAAACAGTAGAACCGATGGCCGCCACAAAGCGGTCCAGAGTCCCTGACGAACAGTTGGCTCCAAGATCTGATAAGAGCTAATGCACAATGAACTGAGGAACCTGGTAGAGAAGGAGCCAGGGAGCCATTGGGCTCTACCAGAAAGAGGCATTTCATTACATTTAACACTGGTTTTCTGGGAGGAGCCCAATGGTGGCTCCCTGAAACTAATTAACCACAGAAAAAGAAAAACAAGGGGCTCACCAGGGAGGAGAGACTACAGGCACTAAGTAAAAAAAAAGAGAGACTGGGCCAGAAAATCATGACATTGCAGACAACCTGAGAAATACAAGCCTTGGAACAGGGAATCAAGGTGGCATGCAGGTAGTGGCAAAGAGCTGTCACCTGATATTGTAAATGACGGAACCCTCAGCTGCCTCAATCAAGGACCTCTCCGGAAGCCAGCAAACTGGTATTTTGGCGGAAACAGAGAAGACTGTTGATGAACAAACGGAGCCAAAAGAACAGAACCCCCAGCCTCCAGAGAATAGCATAAGACTCCTATTCTTGCAACCAAAAATGAGAGTAAACAAAATCAACAATAATGATTGAAGGGGTAACCATTAAACAAGGGGAGGAAAACACTAACACCTTGTCACAATACCAAACCGCTCAGGAGGAGTACGAGACAGCCGGAGGTGAAAGAACGCCCAAGACAACTTGCGGAATGTTGCCAGTACTGCACCAACACCAAGCACAAACAGTGGCGGCTTCCCCAATGCCAAATGATACGAGGTAACAGTATTAGGCATATGATACAGATCCAGTAACAAAACAAAAATGACAGAACCACCGGAATTGACAGCGAAGACAACAAATGGACAAAGAGGGAAAATGAGCACCAAGCAATTTCATACTACTATCAAGAAGAGAGATGCAGGTGGGACACCAATAACCAAGCCACCTGCTTGATCTACAAATAGCGAAAATACCCAGATTCAGACACTGAGCTAGTTTTGAGTGAACCAATTGTTTGGATGGAATCATTTGCAGAACTGTTTGGGTATTTTGATGCTTTGTTTCTTATGAACCTTGTAGCTGTCTGTATAACTTTCCTGACTTTCTGGATGCTTCCCAGTGAGAATGACAATATTAGTCACCTACTCCATGTGTTGTTGTGAGGAGGCCACGTTCTAGCTCCTGTTTCCAGTAGCAGCCCAGTAGTGGGAAAGCCTTCTCAGCGAGATAGCTTCAGGAAGCCACCAAGAGGCTTCTCCCAGAATAGAGAAATTGGAATAAGGAAAATGTTGGAGTGATACTGTAATTTCTGTATTACTGAATTGATTTAACTCAAGGTAACTGACATTCTTTGTTGAAAATCAACAACTAAAGGTGACTTCAAAGAATTGCAGAAGCTTAACAATTCAAGGAATTTAAAGCAGTTCTAAAAACTATTACATAATATTCAACTGAGAATCAAGGAAAGCATAACAAACGTGCAAAAAAACGTCATAGTAAAACAACTAAAAAGATTTGAAAACTTACCTCAAAACACAAATTTAAAGCTTAGGAAGAGCTCAGGTAATGAAGATAGAAGGAAAAAAAACCTTTATGCAGTGAGTCTGAACTACAGCAACTACATACAGTATAGATTATTAATGTACAGAATGCAGGCCCCATCTCCTAGCAGTTCTACAAAAAGAGAATCTGGCTTAAAAAAAAAAAAAAAATCTGATTGGAGAATTGTAAGGTTCAATTTTAGGACAAACCCTTTTTATAATATACTGTACATTGATGACATTATGACCCACATCATCAAATTTGCAAATGACACAAAGATCTACAGTACAGTGGGAAGCAAAAACTATATTGAGACCTTGCAAAACGATTCACATTAACACTATGACTCTGCAGCAGACAGAAAAAAGAAAGGGCCTTTGAGTAATGATCCACCGGTCACAGAAAGCTGCTCAGTAAGTATAAGCTATGGGAAAAAGAAAAGTAGGAATAATCAAACAAACTTTGACTTCAAGGAAAAACTGGCAGATTATTTAAATTAAAAAATCTCTGGTCTCTCTCCATCTGAAAAACTGAATCCAAGCACAAAAACTCTCCCCCTTCAAAGGACATTACTAAACCTTTTCCAAAGCAGTTAAGAGAACAAAAATCCATCCTAAAACACTGAATTCTCATTTCAGGACAAAATTGAGTCTCAGGACTAACACAACTACAAGCCAGATATGACAGAGCTGATCTCGTTCAGACCCCTAATATACTGAACAAATTGAAAGACATTAATCTAGACTATTACTTTAAAAGATCCAATACAACTCTCACTCACAAGGAGCAGCAGCTTCAAGCTCAACAAACCGAGATGTAGCACACACAACGGATGGTTTTTCACTCTTAGGGTAATAAACCCATGGAATTGCCAATCTGTGAAGTTGTAAATGCCAAGACAGTACTACAGTTCAAAATTCAGCTGTAAAAAATCCTTAGGAATAGTGGAGGGAACTTTTAACAAGCTACCATCTTAAGTCACATGCTATTCAAGTTCTTAATGTGACCCATTTGTAAGGAGCAATCTCAGCAAGATAGCTTCAAGGAGCCACTGGGACCTCCCCATAAATTCTTATTAAATATGAATACAATAAGCTCAAAATTAGAGGGAGAGATAAAACTTTGCACCACATAAGTTATCTCTACATTAAAAATTACAAACAAATGTAGAGAATGCATAAATTCAAATGACAATAACTTGTAAATCTATTTACTAGTAAACACTATTCTTGTTCTTAAATAAAGAAAATCTCATTGGGTTTTGGTTTTGTAATTTCTGCCATCATTTCTACATGTTTTGTATTGTTACACGATTGGTTTGGCAACCTTTCATTGTACAGTTTAATCTGAATTTATTTAAGAAATACAATTTGATACATAGTTTTATTTTCACGAGAATTTCCTTAATGAAGAACAATTAAAATTGCAGCTATTTAGGACACTATAAGGGAACTAGCAAAACACGCACACACACACAATACTATAACTAATCCCTGGCAGCCATGCTGTAAATAATAACAAGGGCAGATCAGAGAGTGAATTTTTAAGTGCTGAAACATCAGTAAACCCATATAAAAAGCTAGATAACACTTGTGTACACAAAATCACAGTCTCTGTAAACCAGAAGTTTTATTTGCCATCTTGGCATACAATTTTGAATCGATGTACTACAGAAAAAAACTACATAAAAGAATTTGATTTTTCATTGCATAATACTGTACATCTACATCACACACTGATTATGAATAACAAATATAATGTTATACCATTTAGTGCTCCTCTGGGAATATCAATTCTTACACATTCTATGTGGCTCAGGAGGCATTTTATGGGCACCTCACAGGAGCAAAGAAGCATCTAGTGAAGCATTTGCCAGCACATTGCTGGCATACTCATGCTTAGCTGACTTATAAAAACACCAACTTTTAAAGAAAATGAATTAGATTAATCGTGTTTATAAATAAAAAAATATATGGAATACACAAAGCCATGAAATTTATGAAAGAATTGTGTTAATAAAGAACAAGAATTTTTGTATAGCTCTAAAAAGATAAGCCACTCAGAATAAGGTCCATAACTACTCAAACTGCTGCAGCTACAGTAATCAAAATGGTGTTAGTATCAATCATTTAACAATGGATACCTACTGTATCAATCTCCTGATAATTTGCATGGTAGATGAGACAAGAAGAGAAAAAGGTAGTTATACCTATTTTTCTACATAAAACTATTCACATACCCTATATCACTATGTAATTAAATGTGAACAAAAATCAAGAATTAAAAAATTCTATCACTAATGTTAAAAAAATGTCCAGTAGTTAATCCAAAATGACATACAATATTACCCAAAACCCTGAACATTTCAATTTTGTCTAATGGCAATAATGCATATCCTGTCTCTAAGCTCACACTGCCTGCAAATTTCTCTCTAGTTTGTCTATTGATCACTTTAGCAGTGATGTATTGTAATTAGACCACTTCCCTTGTAACTTCCTCACACATTGAGGCAAATCACTAGCTTGCTCACCTCAAATATCAATTGATTAGCTTAAAGTACATTAGAGTCTAATTACTGAATCCATTATGTGATTTTGTAACCTTTGTCATTATCGACAAGAAAGGTATGGTTCCATAATAAACTAATGAATAAAAATTATATACATGGACAGAGTTTTGCTGGGGTTATTAAAACCAAATTCAGTAATTAAACAGTTTTAAAAACTATCAGTACCAGATTGCTTTTTCCGATAGGAGCTCGAAGTAAAGATCAAATATTGAATGTAATGAAATGCCCTCTTCTGGTGGGCTAAAAATAGCTCTTTTTTACCTTGTACACTAGGGACCCAAGCTTTAGACCCAAAAAAAAAGTGAGTACCGGCTCTACAAAAAAAAGGTACTTGAATTAAAGTGCAACACCCCTTTAAACAAGATGCGATTGTTGCCACAGACCAGCCTGGATAGCTCCGGGGAGCCACAGGGGGCTCCCCCCAGAAAAAAACTCCTTCAGCAAAGAGAATGAAGTAACCCCCAACCCAACAGCAAGTGCCAAAGGAAAGTACTGTAGCCTTAAAAAGGGAATCCCGACAAAAGGACATCGTTCATTTGTAAATTATTTCTTCAGGGATATACCTTCAGCCTTGTTTACCTAAAGGTGCCTAGTTTCTTTCAAGGTGTCACTTGTCTTGCTGTGCTTGTGTTTTCTGGCATGTTTTTTCTGGACTTAGATAAATTTTTATTCCCATAGCTTCTCTGACTTTGAGTGAGCCACATTCTGGTCCTGGCTTCCAATAATAACAGACCTACCAGAAGCTTGTTCAATTTTTAGCTGGGGCTTGGTTGTATCAGAGCTAAGCTAAGGAAGCTACCGATAGTTTGTTCCCAGAAAATAAGGAATACAGTACAGAAGAGTACAGAATAATCTGGAATAGTTACGACCAAGCCGTATTATGAATTTGTAAATTTTCTGGATTTTAAATACATTACTGTTACATCAGCATTATTGACATTTATATAAAACAATTGGATCACATTGGAGTACTGTATTAACACTTCATGAGCATTATTTCAATAACATTGACATCATTATCTATCTTAATCTAACATTGAATCTACACAAGTGCAATGGTTCAAAATAAACAAAAATAAGTTTGTTTGCTTTTGGAACTTTTAAATGTGAAAAACCGATGTAATATTTTGACACTGTTCAGATAGATCCGAGAAATTTCTGAACTTTTAAAGTCTGGCTCTTCCACATTCACTATTCATTTTAACTGAACCTTAGTACTGTAATTATAACAAAACTTTCCCATTAATAATTTGAATTTATACTGTAATACAGCCAATAAATTCCCAAAGGGCAGTGATCGTGTGTAGCAATATTAATTTAAGAAGCTACAGTGAAATGTAGAAACAACTGAAGGTACAGGTTGAGGAATGGAGCTCCAGGAAATTTTTGAAATAATTTGTACAAATTTTAAACAAATTAAAATACTGTAAATGGAAGAAATAAACTTTGTAACCGAGTTACACAACCTACTTTGACAGGATGAGGGTCAACACCATAGGTGTCAAGTGCAGATGCTTTTTTGAGAAAGCAAGTCTCTGCCATCAGAGGAGTATGATTTTTCAAGGTTGGATGTAACTCCATGATTTTCTCCTCAATTTTGTGTGTTTGCTTGAGTAGGATCTTGAAGTCGCTAATATAATTACCATAGTGAATTGTTGGATCATAATCCCCAATCTCAGCTGCAACAGCAATGGACATACAGTATTAGGTTTGTCAAAGGTGTAGCTTCCATACAGGTCAATGCTATGTAGAATTTTTAAAACTGAGTTTACTACTGTATTATGCACAGAAAGAAAAACCTTTCAGTTGAAAGCTTAACATGCTTAGTTAAGCATTTAATAAAAAGAAAACACCCATACAATTAACTATTTTCACTCTTAAGCCTTTTTTATAAACCCATAATTACCAGCCAGCCACTATCTCTAGTGGGTGTGCTGTGAACAGAAAGCCTGTGGCTTGTGAAGGGTCACAATTTTGTCTGAGCAATTTTCAGAGAATATTCTTACTCGTAGCCCTATCTTCGATTCAATATCTTAACTTATGAGATCAGCCCTTTAATGAGTCTTGTATAGTCTATAGGATCTGACAGTCCTTTAACCCTCAGCTCGTCTTCGTAAGATGTACACTATCTTATCCTGGGTCGATTTTTGTTAGTCTATGCTGAACTTAATTCAAAGTCAAAAGCCTTTTTTCTCATATGCATTTATCTGGACATACAAAAAGGTTTTCAATAGAGTTGCACATAAGAGGTTGTTCTGGTAACTGGAACATGCTGGAGGAGTAACACGGAGGCTTCTAACATGGATGATGTTTTCTGACTGAAAGATGAGAGCAGTAATCACAGGCAATGTATCAGACTGGAGGAGTGTTACAACAGAGTTCAGTTCTTGCACCAGTAATGTTCATTGTCTAAATAAATGATCTACTAGAAGAAATTCCATACTGAATTATGTGAACACGTTTGCTGATGATGCCAAGATACGAGGGAAGATATGAAATTTAGACGATTATCATGCTCTTCAAGAAGACCTCAACAAGATAAGGATTTCAAAAATAAGGAAATCTCAATCTCTGAATTTTATCTTTTACATGCAGCTTGCTTTTAATGAAATTATAGAAAAGGCCTGAATCAGTTTTACATTTGTGTACTACCACTTTCTCAAAGTTCCTTTTCACCTCTCTGCTCATTGCTGTGTATTTGTTTCTTGCTTACTTGTAGTGCTAGTATGTTTGAGGATTAGGGCCCCTTTCTATATTGTACCCATTTTCTTGTCTTCTCTACTCTGGTCCTCTCTCAATTTCTGTTGAATCAATCCTGTTTCCTGGATCTATATCTCTGTTTTGGTACATATTTTTTGTACCATCATACATTTCACAGAATTTGGCATATTTCTCCATTTACTTCCTTGCCTAATAACAAGTCTTTCCAGTTAAATTCATTAAAGAATTTGCCAAGTTCCCCGTAGTGTTTGTCAACTACAGTATTTAAATTTTGCCACTCTCTTCTAGATAACATTGCATAGCATATCTAATTTCCATCAGGACATGGTCATGCTTTTCCAAGGAAGGTAGGTACTGAATGTCAAATATTTTTTCTTTTCTGGTAATTACCAAATCCAGCAATGTGTGTGTAATTTTCCCAAGTGTAGTTACATGATGAGAACTATGCTCGTGGTGTCCCATTTCCCCAGTACTGTCGTATAATACTTTGAAACTACTGACGGTTTTGGCCTCCATCACCTTCTCAATTAGTTTGTTTCAACCATCTACCATCTAGCAAAAGAAAATTTTTCTAATATTTTTTCAGCACCTCTGTTTTCTTAGCTTGAATCTGTGTCTTGTTTGTGAAGTTGCTGGTTCCAGGAATTCCTCTTTGTCAATTTGGTCGACTCCTGTTAGTATTTGTAAGTGGTGATCATATTACCTCTTTCTTCTATCTTCTAGTTTTGGCATGTTTAATGCCTTTAGTCTCTCCTCATAACTCTTGTTTTCATTTCCAGAAGCCATGTTGTAGCATGCCGTTAAACTTTTCCAGTTTATTTATGGGCTTCTTGAGATTTGGGCACCATTACAACTGCTGCATATTCTAATTTTGGTCTCACAAATCTCATGAACAGTTTCCTTAGTATTTCACCATTCATATAATTAAAAACAAGTCTGAAGTTGGAAAGCGACACATACGCTCCTCTCACAATGTTTTTTGTGTGTTCCTCTGGTGACACCTTACTATCCAAAACCACCCCCTAGGTCTCATTCTTTATAGAGTTCTGTAATTTCTTTCACATAATTTTTAAGTTGTGTGGTCTATTTTCTCAGATTCCACATTCCATAACATGGCATTATATGCACATTGAATTCCATTTGCCACTTGATGTTCCAAGCACTTATTTTATCTAGATCAATCTGAAGGCAGTCTGCATCTCCTATCTTCCCCAGTATCTTAGCATCATTTGCAAACATGTTCATATAATTTTGTATTCCTTCTGGTAGATTGTTTATGCTGACGATGAACATTACTGGTGCAAGAACTGATCCCTGTGGTACTCCGCTAGTAACACTCCTCCAGTTAGATACATTGTCTCTGATTACTGCCCTCAGCTGTCTGTCAGTTAGAAAAATTTCCATCCATGTCAGAAGTCTCCCCGTCACAACAAGGGGTGTGTGTGTATAAATTACAGTACTTGTATCATATGAATTGTAATATAATAGTATCATAGAAAACTATATACTGTATTTTCAATTAATCAATTACCTTCACCAAGGAAACAAAAATTTGGCATTTTCTAAGAGATAAAAACATATGATTAATATTTGTTGACAGTACAATACAGTAATATCAAGATTGGTGTGTTAGCTGGCTCATCTCACGAAATTCTTGCTACAGACAGGAAAATTAAACCACTTAAATGGTTTAAAATATACACAGTATATCGCTAAGAAAAAATATAATTTTCTGAACATGAGAACTACCACAGTACTTATTGTTAACAAAATTGTATTGCATTAATCTACTGTATATTAATTAAAAGAAATGGATTTTTTTTATTTCATATTACCTTTGAAAATTAAAATTTTTCTAACCTTGGACAATATATGCAGCAAGCATAGCAGCATCTGTCTGCGAACAATAGAGTCTTCCATGTAAAAGATCTCGTCGAAGCTGAAGAAAGAGCTGATAACGAGTGATCTCCTCCTGCAGTCTCAAAGGATCCGCAGGATAGAACTTGACACGGAAGCAAAATAGGATCGGTGATAGATCTGTTCAAAATTAATCTTCCTTTACAATTATGAAGACACTAATTACAATAGGAGCATTGCAAGGAAAATCACCTTTCTCCCCTACATCAAATTATCAATAAATCTTTCCCATATTATTAATAATAATAGTAATGAAGTTGTGCCTAATAGGTCAAGTTGCCTAATAAGCTGAGTTTTCCTAAAATTATATATATTAAGTTTTTTCTTATAGAAGATAAAGCTTTCCATTATATATGACTTAAAAAATTTGGGAGGCAAAACTAAAACAGAAATTTGATCAAACTTAACCTAAGTCCGTGTAATTTATGTTCATAACCCCTGCACTGCGTCAGCTGACATATTACAGGGTGTGATGATGTGTCAGCTGACATGGAATCATGTAAGTATATCATAAAATTGAAAACTCCCATGCATACAATGGGCTCACATTTGCTTCCTCAGGCCTCCAGTAACCATACCCCATCTTGAAAAAAAAAGATTCCAAGGCCCTCACTTTCCTTCTATGGCCTTGATAACGTCGCCTATGTTACTAAGGCCTATGTAACATTCCTAAAGCCATGGCCTTAGGAATGTGCAAGGCAGTCTACTATGAGCCACTGAAATTTTAACAATAGCAAGTGAGTGATTATCATTATATATTTCAGGTTTCTGGTAGGCTAAACAGAAAAATTCTGACTGATGCAACCTGTTAGCATGGAGCAATCTCGGCAAGATAGCTTCAGGTAGCCACTGGGGGGCCTTCCCCACAGAAAATCATAGCTACAGTAACTATAAAGAGTTCAAAGTTGTGCAACAACATAGACACAGTACAAAACGGAGACCATTGACATATGAAGAGTTAAATTCCCAAACTTTCTAAGCTGAAAGACAAATGTGGGGGCATGATCACCATATACAAAACAATGGGAGGGTTAGAGAAAGTTTATAAAGCAGACGCCGTGTTACCTGCCCCACTCAGAACACAAGGACATAGCTACACACAATGAATACTAAAAATAATAAAATTTTCTGTAGTACAGTAATTGAGTATCTGTAGTTGGGGAATGAAGACACCACAAGAATAGCACCTTTTAATTCAAATTAGGTACCATAATTAAAAACATGTAATTGCACACTGGTCACTAATTTATCACATCAATTTCTTAACTTCAAAGTCATATATGCTGCATTACAGTACTTACTTTTTATTTGTCTCAAGATATTCTTGCTTGGATCTAACCAGTGCTGAAATTAATAAAAAATACATTATAAAATATTAATTATGCAATTTTGATCAACAACTGTATAGTATATCTGAATAAATAATTTATGGATTCAAGAAGATTAAGATGAGTAAGTTTTATTCAACATATAATTCAAAATGATTGCATAAGTATATACAACACACATTAATACTGTACAGTGGTTACATAAATTATTTCCTTCTCTAAATTACAGGATATGCCCACATCAATCTCAGTCAATTTTGTGGTTGTAGAGTGTAATGTAGTTCCTGGAATGGAACAAACTTCCCCAAAAATGAAAATGTGTTGCTAATTATATTAAAACTGGAGAGCAATGAGCTTTATTCTCTCTTCATACTGTAGATGATAATATAGCAAACTATATTTAAGCTGGCTTGTATGTCACTTAAGATATCATCAAAGATAAAAAGACATTGTTCAATTTAGCTTTGCAAACCACAGGTTAACAAAACAGTATCAGTAAGTAGGTACTCAGGAGTTAGTCAGCTTCTTGTGAGGTTGCATCCTGGGCAGGGTCAATAATTCGACCTTAGGGGACGACCTCGATATAAGCCTAACGTGTATGAATACACACTGGCTGCCTCTCCCCCAACACAATGAACTAATATTAATTATTATTAGAAAATCCGTAGGAGCAGTGATGAGGGTTCGAACCTACGCTGTGGATGTTCCCACGCACACGCTTCTAGCGACTAGACACCCGACATGGTAGACAGTACAAGGATTGCAACCTGGAGTTCTTCTGAGCACACAAGAATTTCCTGAGGCGTCTACTGCTTGATACCCTGCTTGATGGGGTTCTGGGAGTTCTTCTACTCCCCAAGCCCGGCCTAAGGCCAGGCTTGACTTGTGAGACTTTGGTCCACCAGGCTGTTGCTTGGAGCAGCCCGCAGGCCCACATACCCACCACAGCCCGGTTGGTCCGGCACTTTTTTAGAAAATCTAGTTCTCTCTTGAAGATGTCCACGGTTGTTTCGACAATATTTCTTATAGTCGCTGGGAGGACGTTGAACAACCGTGGACCTTCGACGTTTATACAGTGTTCTCTGATTGTGCCTATGGCACCTCTGCTCTTCGCTGGTTCTATTCTGCGAAGCCGGAACAGGATTTTCACACATTCCCTAATGCACTCTGGCTGTGTCATCTAGGACTTGTTCTATCTCTGATGCTCCTCTTCCAATACACAGTAATCACACTAACATGATGGCATCAATGAAATGTCACTGTGTATGACTAAAAAGAAAATTTGTTAATTTATGTTGTCTTATTTTCTTACTTGACTAATCATGAAAGAGGTACAGTGCGATGAAATTGCAAACTTTTCTGGGAAAGAGTGTAAAACCCTTCCTCATTTGTTCTTCGTATATATATATACATACATGTATTATACACATGTATATAATATAGTTCAGTTTATATAAATACCTATCTTTATTTTGTGGCCGAATTAATTTATTGTTCGTAGTACTGTATCGTACAGCATTACCAAATTGACTCAGACAGTTCCTTGTTATCACAACAGTGAGAGTACTGATGTCAGAGAACATACGGTAGTAATGTTATGTTAATAGGTACTAATTACAGTATAGTATTCATGTTCTGTACATGCATTACCTCTTAACAACCAAATAGCCTTTAATCCAATTAAAACCATATTGTATTGAAAAGTACATTTAATAAAATGCATTTTAAAAAATAAAATACTTACTCTCTGTTTATTTTGGTCGACGTATCGAAGGCCAAAATAATCAACTTCTATAAGGTTGAGCTTGTTAAACAAGAAGTCAAGTAGTACTTTTCCTTTGTGGTAACTCTGAAATATAACAGTTTTAAATCAACACTTCTTTGTTTTAAATCAACACTTATTTTTTTACAAATCATGACAAATAAATTAAAAAACTTGTTGTTTTGGTTAACCCACAATCTCTGTGTTCTTCATGTTACAAAAACCCAGAATCTCATTGCAATACAATCAAAATAATAAACTTAATGTAGAACATATGTTTATAAGCATTTATGAGCTATTATTACGTTTTGTAACACCAATGTAAAATCCACTTTGTCATACATACCTTACATGTACGATACTCAACACTACCATAAATACAATATTATCGTTTGTATTTGCCAGCATAAAAGACATCAAAACATGCAAAACAAAGTATTTTATAACTGGCCTCCTATACGAAGCAAATGCAGCGTTTGCCGCCATAATTGAAACCCACTCAAAGGACTACTATGCTAATGAAATACAGATACCACAATACAATCTTTTCAGAGACAAAGTGTGTTACAGGGTGAAGTTAGCCAGTACATCAAAGGCTCAGTCAAAAAAACTGTGCTGTGCAGGGCACCATGCCCTACACAGTGGTGCCATGCACGGCACTGTGCCCCACACAATGGTGCCACGCACGGCACCATGCCCCGCACAGTGACAAGTACGACATGCCCCGCACAGTGACAAGCATCACACATGCCTCGCACATGTAGAAGTATACAAGGAAGTGTGTTCGGAAGTCAAAACCAGAAATGACCAACAAGAAGCAGAAATTAGGCAAGCAATTAGGAAAAAACTGGTTACCAACAGTAAACTAGTACAAAACACTGCAGACAGAAGTAAGTCCATAATAATTTTTGGATGTTCACAGAAGGAAATTTCATCTAAGGTGGACCGAGCAGCAGAGGAGATGAAAATCATAGAGAAAATAGTAGGTTTAGGAAAAGGCTCAAAGGAAAATGTCAGTGATTTTAGAAACATAGGAAAATATAAGAAAGACAAGAACTGCCCCTTAAGGGTGACATTTAATGGAGTGAAAAACATGAAGGAAGTGCCTAGAAATATCAGGAAATTACAGTGATGAGGTTGGCAAACTTTGGTGAATAAGACAAGACCTCTCAAAGGAGGACAGAGAAAAGCTGAAAATGAACCTAATTGAAGCAAAATGTCTAAATGGGGATAGAAATGAAGAAGACAAATTCTTTTTTTCTACAGAGTGTCAGGGACTGGAAAGCTTGTGAAATGGTACATAAAAACAAGGTCACAAAATCAGTAGTGGAAGGGGGAGTAAAGAGCAAAGGGAAAGGGAACATGTTCCTGAAAATTGTATATACCAACATAGATGGAGCGAGGTCAAAAAACTTTGGAGTTGCAAGATATAATTCAGCTTAAGGTCCCAGATATTGTCGCATTATCAGAGACGAAACTCGAAGGAAATATATTAAATGAAGTCGTATTCCCAAGGGGCTATTCAGATTGGAAACGTGACAGGAAAACTGGGAAGGGAGGAGGAGTGGCTGTGCGGTTGCAACCCATCCTCCAAATTGACAGTACGATTTAATACTAAGTGTAATAAGTATACTTTCTTACTGTCATAAACAGTGCATAATTGCACTTATGGGGCTGTTACATTTACCTAACCCCCTCCCCCGATTTAATTCTCCTCGTTTTCTGTTAAGACACTCAGACACTTTGGTACACACACACACACACACGACTCGTGCCTCACACAGGGACACACACGACTCGTGCCTCACACAGGGACACACACACACACACGACTCGTGCCTCACACAGGGACACACACACACACACGACTCGTGCCTCACACAGGGACACACACACACACACACGACTCGTGCCTCACACAGGGACACACACACACACACACGACTCGTGCCTCACACAGGGACACACACACACACACACACACACACACACACACACACACACTACACTAGTTATCCTGTAACTACACTTAGGTAATTACACTTAGGTAATTACACGACTCGTGCCTCACACAGGGACACACACACACAGGGGTGTCTCGTAGCCTGGTGGATAGTGCGCAGGACTCGTAATTCTGTGGCGCGGGTTCGATTCCCGCACGAGGCAGAAACAAATCAAACACGACACACACGACTCGTGCCTCACACAGGGACACACACACACACGACTCGTGCCCCACACAGGGACACACACACACGACTCGTGCCCGACACAGGGACACACACACACGACTCGTGCCCGACACAGGGACACACACACACGACTCGTGCCCGACACAGGGACACACACACACACGACTCGTGCCCGACACAGGGACACACACACACACGACTCGTGCCTCACACAGGGACACACACACACACGACTCGTGCCTCACACAGGGACACACACACACACGACTCGTGCCTCACACAGGGACACACACACACACGACTCGTGCCTCACACAGGGACACACACACACACGACTCGTGCCTCACACAGGGACACACACACACACGACTCGTGCCCGACACAGGGACACACACACACACACGACTCGTGCCTCACACAGGGACACACACACACACACGACTCGTGCCTCACACAGGGACACACACACACACACGACTCGCGCCTCACACAGGGACACACACACACACACGACTCGTGCCTCACACAGGGACACACACACACACACGACTCGTGCCTCACACAGGGACACACACACACACACACACGACTCGTGCCTCACACAGGGACACACACACACACACACACGACTCGTGCCTCACACAGGGACACACACACACACACACGACTCGTGCCTCACACAGGGACACACACACACACGACTCGTGCCTCACACAGGGACACACACACACACGACTCGTGCCTCACACAGGGACACACACACACACGACTCGTGCCTCACACAGGGACACACACACACACGACTCGTGCCTCACACAGGGACACACACACACACGACTCGTGCCTCACACAGGGACACACACACACACGACTCGTGCCTCACACAGGGACACACACACACACGACTCGTGCCTCACACAGGGACACACACACACACGACTCGTGCCTCACACAGGGACACACACACACACGACTCGTGCCTCACACAGGGACACACACACACACGACTCGTGCCTCACACAGGGACACACACACACACGACTCGTGCCTCACACAGGGACACACACACACACGACTCGTGCCTCACACAGGGACACACACACACACGACTCGTGCCTCACACAGGGACACACACACACACGACTCGTGCCTCACACAGGGACACACACACACACGACTCGTGCCTCACACAGGGACACACACACACACGACTCGTGCCTCACACAGGGACACACACACACACGACTCGTGCCTCACACAGGGACACACACACACACGACTCGTGCCTCACACAGGGACACACACACACACGACTCGTGCCTCACACAGGGACACACACACACACGACTCGTGCCTCACACAGGGACACACACACACGACTCGTGCCTCACACAGGGACACACACACACACGACTCGTGCCTCACACAGGGACACACACACACGACTCGTGCCTCACACAGGGACACACACACACACGACTCGTGCCTCACACAGGGACACATACACACGACTCGTGCCTCACACAGGGACACACACACGACTCCTGCCTCACACAGGGACACACACACACGACTCGTGCCTCACACAGGGACACACACACACACACGACTCGTGCCTCACACAGGGACACACACACACACACACGACTCGTGCCTCACACAGGGACACACACACACACACGACTCGTGCCTCACACAGGGACACATACACACGACTCGTGCTTCACACAGGGACACACACACGACTCCTGCCTCACACAGGGACACACACACGACTCGTGCTTCACACAGGGACACACACACGACTCCTGCCTCACACAGGGACACACACAAACACGACTCGTGCCTCACACAGGGACACACACAAACACGACTCGTGCCCGACACAGGGACAGGGACCTCCCCCTCCCCCAAAAGATTCACAATTTTCCCCGGACTCTTAAAACCTTTCACTCCTAGCCAGCTCAACGTACCTGGAACTCGCACTCTAAAACCTCGTTGTCATCGAGCAGGCGTATCGTGCACTTATAGTCTATACCATGATCCTTTCTGTTGCCTATCTTAAGCATATTTAAAAAGAGAGGAGTGGGAGAGAGAGGCTGAGACCCTCACGACATGACAGCTGACAGTCAAGCTCCTCACCGTTCCAGCAGACCATTTAACTCACCTCGCCTACCATTAACACCTCCCTTAACCTCACCCTTAAAATTCATTAACTGCTTCTGAGACCACCAATAGAGGCAGGAAAAATAGTCTTGTCTAAGTGAGAGACGACATATGTGCGCTAGATAGTATTATTTGTAAGAGTTTTGGTTTTTAGGAGTTTTTGTTGGCGTATATACGCTTATAGCTAAACAATAACAATTTGTCTAGATTTTATATGTAAAACTTGAACATTTCATCTTTTATAGACCTATTTCACGGTGTAATAATTGAGATGTAATTTATATTGGTGTGTTTTGACAAGAGGGTGGAAAAGCGTGTGAGGTTAGTGTGTGAGGAGGGAGCCGGGACGGAGCAGGCGCCGGTCACACTCTCGCTACCAGCTCATCTATGTCAAAATGAAGAAGATTTTGAAAGCTGCCTGGTAAGAAGCGGCCTTTTATGACATATGTTTGTGTGTATATTGTATCAAAGTGAAGGGGGTTCGCTTCCTACTTTTTATTAGTGACACTTCTACCATTTGTCTTGCGAAGTTGTAGTACAGTACCCTGTATTGCCTCTAGATTATGTTAGGCCGATGGTGATTTATTTATTTTTATTTATACATACAAGTCTTCTTACATTGTTGAAAAGAATGATTAAGACGGACCATTCTCACGCATGCAGATAAATCGTATTTGGTTTAAGAAAATATGCCTTAAACCTCTCAAGAAAATATGGTTAATTCGGAAGACTATTTTTTGTTTGCTAGCAAATTAACCATAAGAACTATACTGTACTGTACTTCTATTCATACCTGATTTACTTCTAATATACTTCTCAATATCTGAGAATAATGAATATGTTGGGTATATTACTAACAGTATAATGCTGTCAGATTGTTTCACTCATGTTTAATTTGAATGATTTGTCAGTCCTTCTGGTACTTTTGTGCACAGGTTTGTATAGTTCTGTTATTGGTTAAATTGCTATCTCTGCTGTGCACCAATTTTGACTTCTGTATCCAAGCATGAATAACCTCTTCACAAATAACATAATATATGTTTCATATTTCATGTTATATGACAAAGAGTGCTGGGGAGACGGGACACCATGAGCGTAGCTCTCGTCCTGTAACTACACTTAGGTAATTACAACAACAAATCTGCTTTGGAGAAAGTTCAACACTGGGCGACAGAAATCATCCCAGAACTAAGTCAACTCACACCAGGAACGGTTGAGGACTAACATAACTGAAAACCATATATGACAGCTGATCTCATTGAAACTTAAAATACTGAACAATTTGGAGGATATTGATCCAGACCATTTTTTTAATAGGCCAAATGTTACAGAAGGCACAACAGCTTCAAGCTCAACAAGTCACAATGTAGGACAGAAAACAGGATATGCTTTTTCACCCAAAGGGTTATTAACACAGGGACACCACTTTCCTGCCAAAGCCATAAAAGCCAGAACATTACTGTTCAAATGCCAGCTGGATTTTTTTCATGAGAAAAAATTTGGGACCTTTTGACAAACCACTGTCTTCCTGTCTTCATTTGAGGGCCACTGATGTGGTGGTGGCCCTCAGGTAAAGGTCATTATTAAACAGTTTATATGCAGATTTTCAACCCTAACCTAACCTGTAATATAACAGTCCTTGTGGTGTAGTGGTAAGACACTCGTCTGGCGTTTCGTGAATGGTTTGTCCTGGGTTCATATACTGGCCGGGAAGGATTTACTGGGCATCAATCCTTAATTGTAGCCTCTGTTTACCCAATAGTAAAATGGGTACCTGGTTGTTAAATGATTTAGTGGGTCATATTCCGGGGAACATAGGATTAAGGACTTGCCCGTAATGCTATGCGTTCTAGTGGCTGTACAAGAATGTAAATACTCTTGTATATATAAAAAAATTAATAAATAATAATTCATTGTGTCGGGGGACAGGCAGCCAAAGTGTATTCATTCACGTCAGGCTTATATCGTGGTCCACATCCCCAGGTCAAATTACTGACCTTCCCAGGATGCAACCCCACAACAAGTTGACTACCTCTTGAGTACCTACTTAATGCTAGGTGAACAGGAGCATTAAGTGATAGGAAATGTGCCAAACCATTTATATACTGTACTGTAGAAATAATAATAATATTTATTCAGGTAAAAGTACAGTACAGTACAGTACATTCAAAATAAGTTACAAAAAGAATGTTGGTTTTCTAGATAGAACTAGTACATACTATGCCTAAAGCCACTAATATGCACAGCATTTCGGGCAAGATGTGGGAAAAAACTAAGACTAAAACTTAAAACTGACCTGTCCTTTCTGTCCTGTCTGGGATTCGAACCCGGAATTCTTGATTGGGAGTTGAGAACGAACCCAAATGTACTACCGAGACCCCTCAATGTTAGGAATGTGTATAGCATATTCTCAAGTGTTATTTTAAGCAGGTAGCTTAAATTAAATTAGGATATATAAAATGGAAATCTATGGATAAAACAGCTACTGTGATATACCGATTTATTTATGTATTTATCCAACTCATCCTAGGTATTGTGACTTTGTTTGCTAACCCAGCCTAACTAAACAATGAGAATACAGTCAAACCATAAATTGATATCTCTCGCATAGCTTGGTTTTCTAATGTGTAAAACTGTTTTTTTGTTTTTTTTTTTATTTTTACAAGTAAATAGTGTTAGATATACTGTACCTTTATAAAATCAAAGAAATAATTAGGGTAAAATATATTGTAGGATTGCAATAGGCTAATATAGTTAAATTAGGTTTAAATGTTCTTTCAAGATAAACAAATTATACTGTACAGGGTAAAATTACAAACTAAATTATACTATAAACAGTAAAATTGTCCAGATACCAAATACTGTACTTAATCTGAAGTACAGTATTTGGTTCCCAAATACCAAGTACAGAAGTTCCCAAAGTCTTCTGACCTTACTCTAGTAATGTTTTGTAATTTAATCAGCAATGTAAAGTGAAAGATGTATTTTACTTTGGTGACATCTGTCAATTTAAACATCCTAAATGTTTTCCACCTTTTATAGGCAATAATTCTTGTTTTATTTTTCTGTTTTAGGTTTGCCACGAAGGTTGGCATTGGTGGTGGTGTAGTTTATGTGACAGTGGATCAAGGTATATGGGGTGATGGTCATCGGGCTGCTGCTGTATATGACAGACTCTATGACATCATGCCAGGAACCAAGAGTGTTTCTGAAAAGGTATGCTAATTTTGTATTTACAAATGTTATAGCAAATTAACTACTATATTTCAAACAAAATTATGTAGATGAAATTTAAATTTTTTTTAAACTCTACAGGTACAGTATTCACATACTGGATTTGAAATTAAAGTTTCTTAGAATTTAGTGTTTTCATCGAATTGTATTTGTTAGGCCCTTTTCACCGAGTCCATATGTAAAAACAAGTTGCTACTTTAACTAAGAAATGAAAAAAAAAAAGAGTTCAGCAAGGTTGAAAGTTGTAACAAGTACAATAATATACAGTGTACATTTATAAATTAGAAAGACAACATGAACAGACAGAAGCACAAGTAAATTTTATTATCGAGCCTAATAAAACCAGCGTTGAATGTAATGAAACGCCATTTTCTGGGTGAGACCTGGAGGCTCCCCGGAGCTTTACCAGGCTGATATGCTAATGTCAGACTTTGGCTTCAGTCATGTGTATGGAGTTCTAGGGCCTACTGGGGACCACGGCCAGAACCTGGCCCCCTCAGAGAGGCAAGGGGAGCAATGGCTTATAGAAACCCCCGTGTGGTTGGAAGCATTCTATGTCTGCCATCGACCAGGTCAAGCATCCAGAAAGGTAAGCATTCCAAAACAAATCCCTATTCTGGTTAAAATTGCTACCTAAAGCCGAATTAATGGATAGAACTCCTCAACAGAAAACAAGCAAACTAGTATGATGTCACACATCACCGCGCCGCTGTCTGCGCAGCTCCCCCCTCCCCGGGAGGGGGAAGGGGGAGCCCCAGACCTCCCACGCTGGCTATCCACCCATCAGTTCTGAGGCTGGATGTCAAAACACACGAAAAACCGCCAACCGGAGGGAGGGAGGGAGGGTTGCTGGGGAGCCTCCGGGTCTCGCCCAGAAAATGGCGTTTCATTACATTCAACGCTGGTTTTCTAGGGGAAGCCCCATCGGCTCCCCAGAGCTAACTACCCACAGAGAAAGGTCAAAGGGACGGAACTGGGAGGCGGACACCACGCACCCCCCACGGAAGCAAGACAACCGGCAGCAAACGCCAACCCAAGGCGCCACAGCCCTGAAAGGGCCCGGGAAGAACATGAGAGCAACAAGCAGCAAGGCCCCAGTACGAACACCAAAGATCCATGCCTGAATGACAGCAAGGACACGTCGCTCAGACGGCAGCGAGAGCAGCGAAGCCACGAATGCCACGGGCATGGGGGAAGAACACAGGCAGGTTAGCCACAAGAACACGGCTGACAACCCGGGACACTGTCACCCGCGAACCGGGAAGAACAGAACCGGCTCAACGTGAAACGCGCCCCGGACACAGATGCCGTGGCACGCATGTACGTGTAAATAGCACAAGAGAATACGTGTATGTGGATTGGGTGTGTTTAGCATATGAGTTTAGTTTAGGGATTTAAACAGAGGGGCTGTTTGTTGTCTAAAGACAGAGTTTGTTATAGTTCTGATAGCAGATTTTTGCTAGGTGATGATGGGCTTGAGGTAATTTGCTGTGGTTGAACCCCATGCACAGATACCATATGTAAGATAGGGATAGCTTAGCGAGTAGTATAATAAGGTGTAAATAAAGCTGCACATTATTTACAGTATATCTTTGTATTTAACATTGAATATACAGTACAGTAGCATTAAAACCACATTAAAATTATATTCATATCATGTTAAAATTATATTCAAAACACATTAAAATTACACTCTTCTTATCACACCTTTGCTTCTTTAAAATTAAAAGACTTTGTATCTTGAGATATGGTGGCCTATGGATACCCACCTTAATCACCTTTACATGAGCAAATGATAGTTAGCATATGTAATATGTACTGTACAGTAAATGCTTTTTGGAAATTCAGCATAATTAATTTAATGTTTTTGATAATTAGATGTAATATGTTGTTTATTTTTTCCACATCATTATGTAACTATAAATAATTGATTCTGCTGTTTCCTACAGTTTGTAGGGCTCTTCCTTTCCTTTTAAATATTACTTTTTCCAGACTGCCGTTTCATTTCAATTTCATTGCCCTATCTGCATACTGTACTCTTGTCCTAAGAAAATTGAAATTTGCTTTTACATAACCTTTTTGTTTTCTCCTTTTTCTATTTTTTTAAGAATTACAAACTGTACAGTACTTGAAATTATGACCAACCACCACTATATGCATTTGTAATATGCTAACTTAACCTCAAATTACATTTCTGTTGGTGCAGAATTATTAGCCATATTTTTCTTTATTTACAGTACTTACACTTACCGAAGAAAGATGATGTTAATGTAAACTTCCGAAGTTATTGGAATACTGGAGTCTTTTATACGTTTGACTTTATTGCCAACCTTCCAACAAAAGTTGTTGGTATTAAGGATTCCATCGTAGATTTTGCCTCCTCTCCACCAGTCTCTGCCAAACAAAGTGAAGAACATCACAAAAGAGATGGAGCAAAATTAGAAGAGAGCCATCCAAAGACAGATTTACCAGAGGAGATTGTAGCATCTAGTATTCCACATGAATCAGTGGACTTGCCACTTGCAGTAGTTAAAGTACACACAGATGGAAAGTAAATATAATTTTTGGTTCTGTTAACAATACAAATGGTTGAAATGAATTTAATAATTTATGTGCTGTTTCACAAATTTTGTAAATAGTCCTTAATAAATAATTTAACTCCTTGTTTATTTCAATATACCTTTGCCAGTTTAACTAGTGCATCTCATGTCTTGCCAGATTACATAAATACTGTACAGTAGTTAACCGATTCCTTTTGCTTCATTTTGAAAATGGCTGCAAACATTGAGTGAATATTCCTACTAGTTAATTCTTCTTAAAACTTACATGTTATGCATTTAACCATATACATGAATGAAGACTAGCACAGGGTATCTTCAATCTGAACAAAGTGTGCTACTGAGAACTGTTTACAAGTAACTTGCTCAGTCATTGGAAATGTATTTCTGAAATGTTCATTGATGTAAATTAGTTAGGTTACTGGGTCAACAAGATTTATCAGGATTAGGAACTTATTTTAAAAAAATTACGTGAAGACAAACTTTTTTTATTTACCTTGAATGCTGGAATTGCCCAGCTTACTAGTAGTGATGCTGATTGATGACATAAAAGTTTATTTATTGCTAGAAGGTCATGCAAGTGTAAAACTAGGAAATACTGTGGAAGTTGTGGTGGCTTGATAGATTCTGTCAGCTCCGGGTTGACATTTTTCTGGAGGAGTTTTGTAATCTTTGAAAAACTAAAATTTGTTAATTTTCAGTAGTATACTGTAATACAATTCTAAAATATTTTTCCATATGTCTTAAGTGTTGTAAGCTCACTCCTGAAAAATTTCTAAGCCCTCATCAATATTCCATATTAAATGCTTGCTCAGAGCTTTATTTTAGCAAATATGATAGCAAAGTTATTGCTCCTTTTTTATCTCTAGCAGCCTTGCCAGTAATTATAATATTATATATACAGCACTACTATTTGCCTTCCTCTAAAAACAATTGCCCACTCTTGTTACACAAATACTCTCCCCAAGCTACCCTTGCCTCAGAGAGCCAGATTCTGGTCTTTGCTTCTGGTAGACACGGGTGGGTCTCCTCAAGACATTACCGGACCAGCACTTAGCTCAAGAGAGCTATTAATGCACTTCTTGGCCTACTATGCAAGGCCCAATTTACTTAATAGGCTAAGTAATTTTCTTTATTTTCCATAAATTGTTTCCATTTGGTTTATTTGAATTTTTATTATTATACTAGGAACATAATTTATTGACTTAAGTTATATTAGTTTAGGATTGGTTAAGATAGGTTAGGTAGGGTAGGTTCGGTCATATATCTATGGTAGTTTTAACTTAAACAAAATGAACTCATACATAATGAAATGGATAGCTTTATCATTTCATAAGAAAAATGTGTGTTGTAGGGAATATATATCTTGAGGTAATTGTCCTTATAGTTTATTGTTCAGTATATATATTTCTCTTAAGCTCCTATACTATCATTTGTTTATGATAAGATTTCTGAACAAAGTAATCTGCAGCTCCTTAAGTAGCAACCTGGCTGTGCTTCATGATTGGATTATGGTTGGTTTACTTGCATGGTGACACTGATACCCAAATCATCAACAGGTAATCATGGGTAAATGGTAAGGTCTTAGGAACCTACTGGAGGATCAAATACTTTCCAGCTACAAAGACAACCTGAAATGTTTACTCTTAAATCAATGAAATTACTGGCCTCGTAGAAGGTATACTAACAGTACAGTGTTTGTCAATCCAGTGGTCTCCACCTATGTTAACATTATTAAAAGGCTTTTGATCCTGTCAGTCAAATATTTCTGATTATAATCATGTAATGTGATGCTCTTTATTAAACCAAAGGATAAGCCTATCACTAAGTCTGCCTGCTATGATTTGTGAAATATATACATTTCTATGCATTCTTGAATTCTTAGGTTTAACTGATGAAAAAAAAGTTTCTTCAATCCTTTGATAGAGGTGAATGATGGTATTTCTTCATTTCAATACATATTGTGTATAATAAAACTAGTACAGTATATCATACCCTAAATTTATAGAGGGGGTCACATCCTGGAAAACCACTGCTGAGCCCAACTCTCATATTCCACTTTTCCTGGCCCTTTGTCATTGTTCTTCAGTTTCCAAGTGAATAGTTCAATCCTTTCTTGGCTGTTCTTGCTCTGTGTCTTTTGTCAATTACTGTCGCCTCTTCTCATGTACTGTTGGCAGAGCTGTTCCAGCTTGCTTTCGGGATGGTTACGGAGGTAACCACCCTGAAAATGCAGTGGTTCCATTGTAATACAGTGATCCCCATTTTGGTCACTATTAAAGATTGGACATCAATTCACTAGAGAAAATCCAATGTACGATGACCAGATTGAACCCTGGTATTCGGGACATTCCCTGCGAGGAGAGGTCAAGGGATCTTGATCTGTATTTCCTAAAGATGTGACCAAGCTCTTCAAGTGGATGAGATGTATCAACAGAGAAGTTACGAATAGTCTTGAAAATATCAGACCAAGTCAGAACTCATAATGATGGCTATAAATTGGAGAAGTTTAGGTTTAAGAAGACTATAAGTAAAGGTTTGGCAACATGATGGCAGTTGAGTAGAATAGGTTGCCAGTTAATGTAACTAAGGCTAACTATAAAAATAGACTTGATACATAAGAAAAAAAAAGTTAGATAAAATATAGGCACTATCCAGATTGGGTCAATAGATCCACTATGGTGACTCACTTCTTATGTTGTCATGTTCTTACGTATAGTATACAGAATTTGAATTACAGATTTTTATACAAGTTGGCCAATGTAATAATATACTACAGTGATTTATCCAATATAATATATTTTACAACTTTCAGTACAAATTAAAAAAATATCAAGAAATATACATGCATCACAAGCTCATCCTCAGGCATTCATTATAACTCGGTGGAAACTATAAGGTTGGTGAAATAATTTATATGGTGATCTTGACAGTATATTTATATTGTTAGTAAGCCTACAGTATTTCTGTGACATATCAGTGGAAGGAGCAATTATATTTTTATGTGACAAGCGTACTTCTTGACAGAAAACAGCGATGCAATCTAAGCACTTCCCAAAAGACTAAACAAATAATGCAGAGCCACAAGCCTACAATCATAACTTTATTTACAACCTTGTTGATACAGTATATAATTAAGATTACAGTCAATATAAATTTTTATGTATAAAAAGAAGTGTAGCTTTTGAGCTGAGTATAATCAATGCAGTACACATGATATCTATCTACAGTACAAATATTTTTGTTATAAACAGAAAATAGTAAAATCCTTAATCACAATACAATATAATTTGTTAATGCTCTTTACCATATTTTAAAATAAATATCTATTTTTACACAATGACTATTCTCAAATATTTCATGATCAACTATACAGTGTATATATATATATACATATACATAAAATTGTATAACATTGCAAACAAAAACTAAAATGCTGTGTCAGACTAGTTACAGAAACTGATCTTTTACCAGTTAATAAGCAACAAGCTCAGTCTGGCAATAAAATATGCAACAACATTTAGATTCAATTGTTTATTCTTAACCTGCCTGTTCAGTACTATTAAATTCTTGTAAAATACTCCTCTCTAGTTCAAAGTTATATTCATAGTCATCCAAGTTGAAGGAATTTATTTTTGATAACATGTGTGTGACAAAGCTAATGTCATGTGATTGCACGTGTCCCTCCAGGAGGACTTTTGGCCCCAGCTTAAAAGGGATCCCATCAATGGCACTCTGAACTTCAACACTTGTAGATCTGCAATAAATAAAGTTGAAGGTAAATGGTCATGGGAGCTATTTTTTTTTTTTTTATCAACCAATTTAGTAAAACTTGTTAAGTTAGGTTAGAACAAATGGAAGTGTGCATTATAATTACCACATTCCCACTTTCATTGAGTGGGAAGGCATAAACCTGCAGGGAAAACAAAATGAAGCATTGACTGTAATGATATGCCACTTTCTGGCAGGTTCCCATTAGCTTCCCGAGCTTAACTGATTCCATCAAGCTTAAACGCAACTCATAAGGCCTCTGAGAACTGTCGATTGTCTACCTCAATCCAGGACCAAAATCTAGCTCATTCTAAAATACGAGGAAAGTAAGAGGTTTAGAAATCAATCATAAAACTTGGAAATGCTCACTTGAAAGAAATAAGGCACCCAAGGGGAAAGAAAACAAATATAATTTATGCATGATAAATATTTAATATTAAATGCAACACAACTGCCACCAGATGGTAGCCCAAGTCAACAGGAATATCAGTAAACCCACCTTTCGAAGAAGAGCGAAAACTACTGGGGGTTCACTAGAAGAGGTTATTTGATTATATTTAATGATTGATTTCTGGGAGGGGGACTGCTTAGTAGCTCCCCAAGCTTCTTTACAGCAGTGTTTAGGAAAAGGATGCCAGTTTTTCTGTAAACAGAAAATGTGGAATAGGAGAAGAATGGCAGGAAAGGAAGGACTGAAGCAAAGACTATCAGTGACGTGTCAAACACCCTAAGTGCACACAAGTACAGTGAGAGCGAAAGTCATCAAACAAAGTAATAAGAGGCCAAAATCAGGAAGACCACCAGAAGCCATAAGCTTGAATGTCAGTTATGAACAAAATGATGAAAAAAAGCTGTCATTGTAGCAAACAACCACGCAACAACTGCTCAGATTGAGGACAAACAGCCAGCTGGTCTGAACCACCAATAAAAGGCCCTGAGAAAGATAATATGCAAATGATACACGATTCAGAAAGAGTGCCCAACAGACTGGAAGTTGTCAGAAACATGCAGAGGCAAACAACCCACCTGTAGTTAACTGAAGAGTCATAATGCCAGAGGAAGGAGGACCTGCCTATCTTCCATTCCACTGAAACACATGGCAAGAAGAGAAACAGATTATAAGAACATTAACTGTTCTTCCATTCGCCACCCCATTTCGAGATAGATGTGGCACGTGAATGACAGAAGCAAAATCCAAAAGAAGATGGAGACCAATGCCCAGTGGGAGACGTCTTAGTGAATAGTTACACCATAAATGAAAATACTGTAATCTATATATTTGATCTAGTCATCAGTTGTACTGCTTCATGCCATTATACACAAAATCCTCATAAAGTAAAATATATATTGTAATACTAATTAAGTGTAACTACAGTATTAATATTACCTCTGTAAACTGCTTTCACTTGCTTTTGGATCTATACCATATGGAAGAAAGGCATTGGCACCCCCTACAGTGTATCCTGGTGGGGGATCATATATGGAACTAATACTGGTGTTATCTGAAACATTAAGAAATCCCAAATTAGTATCTTACATACTGGAAAGCAAATCTTATTTTTCACAAATACATTAAAAGAATATATATATTTGTCACCAAATTTGTGAATATCTGGTGACAAATGGGAATAGACACGTGTAAAACACCTAGACATGTGAAGAGAAAGCCAAACCAGTGAAATACATCACTTGGTTAAACTGCTGAAATTGATGAAGCCAAGAGAAAAAACCTGGCTTTGGACACTGGATGAGAAATGACAGAAACCAAGGCTGAATCAGCCATCAAGAAGCCAGAAGGATCAAACCCCCCTACCCAAACCCCCAAGTGTGACTCCAGACTGGACAGAAACCAGAGCAACAACTGAACCAGGGAAAAAGGTAAATGTACCTTCACCTTGACCAGTCCCACCAAAACGTATCAAGAGTGACAGCCTCACCATTGGGGAACGGAGCTACGTAGGAAGGAAGGCACCAATTCCAGGCTGATGCAAAGAGGTCCACTTTGTGGCAACCGTAAGTCTCACAAAGCTAATGGAAGGACGAAGTTCACTTTAGTGGAAATGGGGTGAAAGCGAGATAATCCATCCACAAGAATGAAGGACACATCCCACACATGAACTCTGCAAAGAACCATACCCTGAAAATCTATAAGTCGAGCTACTTTTAGTGCCCAGCTCCACAGGGCAATGGACTAAAGTGACTCCCCCTTGGTTCAGGCCATAATCACTGATCACAAAGCCCCAACCTAAAGCTGAGATGCTAATAAGAACATAGTGAGATAGATGCAGGATGGTGCCACATAACCAACCCCCCCAAAAAAACTAAAGGGGAAAAGCCAATGAAGCATGAGCTGAGGAAAGGGCCGGCAGGGCTCAAACCTACCAGTCCGGAGTGTCGTGAAACCGGAGAAACTGGTACAATGTCTGGAGCCAAACCCTGCCCATTAGAAAAACTGTAGGCAAAGCTGATGCTCCCACACAACACTTGATCAAGCAGCAACTCAGCCAGAGCCAATCAAATATCAAACGACAACAAAGCTACATGTGGGGCAAACGCTGCTGGAGGCAGGGACAGAGAACCAACTAAGAGTCCTAAATGAGGCCTATCCAAGTCTGAACCCAGGATGGAACTAATTGTTACTTTCCCAAGACACCAGGAAACTGAACCTGGCAAGCTGGGAAAGAACCAGAACCCTGGCCAGCTGACACATACCGGCTGGGAGCCCAACCCAGCAAGCTACCAAGAACAAGACACGAAACCCCCAAGAATGTAGCCTGCCTATCAGGACCCAGGCCAACCAGAAAGAGACTTTATATAATACATGTGGATGTAATGAATTTACCCTTGACTCATGAACAAATTCTACTATCGTTTTTAATTACCTACTAAGAAATGAGGCCATCATGTACTAGTGGGCTGAAATTATCATAAAATCACAATTTAGTGTTTTCTGTCAGTGTTGTACATATTTCTGGACAACATTACTAGAGTAGCAGGAAAGGTGTGGGTTGTAAGACACTTCTTTTGAGATGTGACAGGATCAGGTTTATGTGTAATATAAGCACATTACAGTCAGGGGATTTACCCTGCAACATTTGATTGTTTTGTTTAACTAGTGCAGTAGAGCTAATTTCCTTCAAGCAGTCGCTTGTTTTCTTGTGCCTAAATTTTCTGGTGTTTTTTCTCAGGGTTGTAGATGATCTCCGCTCTCTGGCTGTCCTTGCCGTGAAGAGTGAGCCAGATTCTGGTCTTGGCTTCCAGTAGGATATATATATGGGTACAGCATTAAGAGCCTGCATACAGTGTTGGGCTGAGGCTTGCTGGTACCAGAATTAATCTTGAGGAGCCACTAAGGGGTCCCTCCCAGAAATTTTAAGTAGTTTTAAGAATACACTTGACAAAGTTGATAAAGAAAGTAGGACAACAAGAGTAGAGCTCTCTCCTTGGAAACTACAATTATGTATGTCATTAATGCATTGTTTTACTGTTTTTTGTATATACAGGTTATATTTGTACAAATCAAATAGTAACTCGATCATTAATTAATTCTGATTCAGTCCCAGTAAAGGACAGTATAACTCAGTCATGATTTTGGCCAATTTTCCAGGGAGATTCAAGTTAGCAAAATCCTAATTTGAGAGCTTTATGTGTATTTCTTTGTATGTGCTGTATAGTAATGTATTTTTTAACATAAAGCAATCTACTTATAACTAAATCAGGCAAACAGAACACCAAACGTAGTAGTACATAAAAATGGAATCAATCACATACCTAATATACAATGACGTTCACTTACTAACCTACAACTATAAAGCCATCACTGTTAACAATTTCAGCTTTTTCTTCAGCAGCTTCAATTCCTGGATCAGCAGGAGACTGTACTGTAACTGGAGATCTTCGACGACCAAACATTCGCTGGAACATATTGTATTTACTTATATTCTACTGATAAGCCCTGAAAAGAAAATTATGCATATGTAGTACTGTATTGTAAAACATCTATTCTGTACAGTATTTAAAATAAATTCTTATTCAAATAAAAAAATATATATTTTAGCATGGGATTGAGTCCCCAAACCAAATGTTGTGGTGGATGAGGATGGTGGTGATAGTGGGTGGTTACTGTGGTACAGCTATTTGTTCAAGTTATCAGTTTAAAAATTTTCTACTCTCAAAGCCTTGAAATGCACTTACATGGTGGCATTTACAGAAGGCTATACTATATGGAGAAAGGATAGAAAGGCAAAATGGGATAGTGTGATAATACTGGTGAATGACCATATCAGGGGTAGTGGAGATGGCAACAGGAAACCTACATAATTTAGAAGTTGCAATTGTAAAAATTGTACTGCAAAATTAAAAACTTAGTTGTCATGGATGCACTTAATCCTCTGATAGAAATACTTGTATAGAGAAAGAGCTTAATAACAAATAACAGGGGGTTTATATATCCATCCTAAAAGATACAATCCAAAGAGAAAAACTGTGACCATACCAAATTATTTATCTTTGGAGACTTTAACTGGAAACACATTAACTCCGAAACATATGATGCAAGACTGTTTTTGTCTAGGGAATAAGAGACAGGAAACTGTTTTTGTTTAAATTCAATCCTAGTACTGTAGCATTTATACACAATTATGTCAGATGGACAAGTAGAAGGTGGCCAGGATTAACGTTTTCCAATCTGTTCAACAAAGTCCTGATGTCAACTACAGTTTCCTCTTATGAATTATTTAATACTGTACTACTAAAATTTATTGAGAATATATGTTGTTGAATATTACTGTGCTTCAGAGCCCATCTGTCTGGTTATTTGGAAGTGTTGATTAAACTATCTAAGCTCACTTTAGTCCCATCTTAAAAAATATTAAACACAATGTAAAAGCATATCGAGGTTCCTGTAGCCAAGGGTATTGTGGTACATGTTGTTGTAGAATTAGGGGCAGCAACAGCACAGGTCTGTATGTACCCTGCTATTTCTATATGTTGTTAAAAAAAACTCTTAAGCCCGGAGGCCATATGATTAGAAGAAATAAAAACAGCTGTACCTTACAGCAGATAAGTGCACTGCACTGCAGGTGCTTGGTGACACAGGTGTCCCCCGGGGAGACAAGGGCCAGTGCCCACCCCACGCAGAGAGCCAACTGGAAGACTGTCAATCGACAGCCAGTGGCCCCAGATGACATACGTCAGGCATCCAGTGGGTAGCCAAATTAAGTCAAAGTCAAACGGCTAAGGCACGAACGCCCCCAAATACTCAAAACCGAAATAGACCAAATTCACTGGCGTCTTCCAGTGACTCCCCAGCAGAGCAGTAGTCAGCCATCCATCACACCCCATGAGTATGTTCCAGGAGCCCACCAAAACCCACCAACTCCCGGCACCTCTCGGCCAAGCTGGCGCTGGACTTCGCTTGAAGAACCAGCCTAAAACTGGGAACATATCAAATCTATCAACTTCCCTGCAACCCCAGGTGATAAGGGTGCTAAGCGTCAAAAAGTGAGCTGTTGAAGAGGAATGTCTGCACAGGAATGCCAAGCCACAGTATTATGATTCCCCCCAAAGTCACAATACTGCATTCCATTAGCCTGGTGGCCCCAAAATGGTGAAGGTGTCCAAATGTCCACTCGCCATTAAGGTTGAACCAGGTGTCCCTTGGTACATGTAGTTCACCCATCCAGTGCAGTCTCAACCAAACTGGCCTTAACTTGACTAAGTGATGTCCACTTCACACACTGCACCAGGCAATCGTATTCAGTTATAACAAACAGCAACTGTATTTCTTTCCTACACTACCACATAGCCAGCCAGCATTTTCTAAAGTTGATCTAAATATTTGCAACAATGTTCAACGTGAATCAATGTTCGTTACTAAGTATGATGACTGCAGAGAACACGAGAACGGGAAGACTGCCACATAGTCCTGGGAGATGTTAGCGGACAAGTACTGTCTATAGTTCTAATAAACCAACCTTTGAAAAACTAGTCCCTATTTTTTTGTTGCATAGACGGATATGACACATGGACCGACCTTGAAAAAAGTTACCTGGAAAATATCTTGACTATTAGAGCATATTAAATCCAGATTATGTAATAGAGCATATTGGGAAAACATTTAATATAATGACATATTTCTTTATAAAGATTTGTAAAGTAACAAACTTTTATAAGTAAAATGTTTATGTGACTATGAGCAATGTGTAATAGATTTAGTAGTGTTGTTATTTATATATTTATTTTACTATTTTCAATACTACTTAATCTAAGCATATGAAACCTGAGTTGTAGATAACTATTCTCTTGAACATTATCAGCGAACACAAATAACAGCGCACATGTTCAACGCCCAATTGATTAGTGTCACCCGTTCACAACATATATGGTGGACATACTTGCATGGTGTGTTAGTCTTCTTCTTATTATATATATTTTATATATATAATCGATATTCGATTGGAGTGGGTGGCATGAGACAAAAGTTGCACATAATAAATCTGAAACTTTGATCTAATTTTTCAATTACACACATTTTCTTTATAAGGATTTGTAAAGTAACAGACTTTTATATGTGAAATGTTTGTGACTATAAATTATGTTTAATAGATTTAGTAATGTTATGGTGTAAGCCGAAAACGCATTTAGCATTTTGTATTTTTCACATGTGGTTTTTTCCGCATAGTTGGATCAATGATTTTGTTATATATTTTGATTTTGATTTTGTTATATATATATATATATATATATATATATATATATATATATATATATATATATATATATATATATATATATATATATATATATATATATATATATATATATATATATATATATATATATTCTTAATTTACCTATAGGCCACTGTCTTTTCAAGTTTTCTAGTGCCCTCGACGGGGACCTTATATCCTGCTAAACAACCTTATAAATACTTAAATCTAATCCAGAATTATTAACTGTAGGAAAGATGTGTGTGACCTTGTACTGGGTTGCTGGATGCTGGTCGTGTTAGAGGCTGGTCGCTGGAGGTGTTCGCCGACGTCAGCCAGGGCTGTCGTGGCTCATCCTCATCACCTCTCATTATTGTTGTTCATCGCTGGTAAGGGCTGACACCCTTTGAGAAGCCCTTTATAGCTTTCTTAGCAAGTTGTAAGCTGTATTATATCAGGTAGCACTATAGTGAGAGGTAATTTGTGACATTAGATGTCACTTTGTGGGACACAGCTGGAGGCTTCACCAACCAAACTATATACTTCATACACCTTACTTGTTAACGTGAGAAAATGAGCTTCCAACCATATCGCGCACGGATTTAAGGAGAAGTACATGTATAATATGTTTTCAAGTATATATACGACAGTATTCGGAATTACATCACTTGGTGAACAATTCCTGGTGTTTACTGTGTTGTTGTTTAAGGTCCATTATGGCCCGTAGTATCAAAAAGATCCCTGGTGGTAACCAAGTAATGTCAGTGATATTATATTACACACTATATAATGATTTTTTTTATCCATCTTATAGGATATTTTAGGTTGGGTTGTTTTCTTTATAGAGTAATGATGTAGAACAAATAGTTTTAGGGCTGGTTATGAACCCTAAATAATAGGGTCACATAACGTATGTGCCCGCCAGACTGTTGTTTGGGAAGAGTAGTAAGGTTTACAGCTATTCATTGAATGTTGGCAAAAAATTAAAAAAAAAAAAAAAATTACTATGGCAGGAAATCAGACTGGTAGTTTCCTGGGGACTCCTTACCTTGACCTTGAGGTTACCTTGAGGTGCTTCCGGGGCTTAGCGTCCCCGCGGCCCGGTCATCGACCAGGCCTCCTGGTTGCTGGACTGATCAACCAGGCTGGTTGCACCCTGCATAAAAGACCAACTGGAAATCTATTGATGCAGTTTATGAAAAGCAATTGCTGCAACCTGTAAACCCTTTTGTCCAATTTCAGTTGGGCAAAAGGGTATCTGTCTTCCAAAGCTTCCAGCAGGTAAAGAAGCAGATGCCTCCACATCAAACGTTGTAGTTATTTTCCCCCTAACTTTTCTATCTTCCAGTAACATGAAGTTTATTTCAGTTTTTTTCTCATAACTCCTCATCTCCCTGGGAAGGGAGAGATGATTTGTCACTGATCTGTGGTCACCCTGCAGTAATTGAAGACCTGGTTGTAAGCTAATTTGGCAGAGCATGTTCCAGGGAATACTGTACTGTGAGGTTAAGACTTAAGCTGTGGTATGGTGAGCTCTAGGCCTATTAACAGGAGGCAATCTTTATGATCTACATAACCCAAACATTAAAAAAAATCAACTATGCAAATTCTCCTTTAGTTTGTTCTTGGTTTAGAATGAGGTACAGTATGCTCTCCAATGTGCTTCGCACCCCATATTTTGTGGATACAGTAATGCAATCTGAAAAGATAGTCTCACAGGTCAAAAAGTTACTCTTAGCCCAGTAAATTACCAAAAGTCCTGGGAGTGTCCCGCATTAAAGCGTAAGGGAGCTACTGAGGTCCTGTTCAAAATCGGGTATTTCATTTCACAAATCTTTTTTTTTTTTTTCTCCAGCAATGTAGCCCCTAATGTGATGATCATGTTTTTAGTTTTTAGTTTCCTGATATTTTGTTGTACTGTATATTTAAGCACATACATTTATTAATTTTTTTCTTTTTTTTCAGCTAAAGCAATGATGAATGCCATAACAGGTTTTGTAGATTCTCTCAAGGAACTCTTCAGCTTGACATCTCAGATGCTGTCACTGTCAGTGAGAGTATGGTCTCTTGGCATCATGCTCCTACTACAGCTTCTGTTACTTCTAGTAGGGCTTGTTTGCCTCTGCTGGGTTCTTCTCAAGTTTGTAAGTTTATTGCATCCCATTGTATGGAGAAGAGAGTTCATAGTATGTACTGTACTGTATATCTAGTTTTACTGGATATACAGTACAGTACTGAGAATAAATGCAACTACAGAAGGCCTATGGGTTCATTCATATGAGGCAGCTACTATTTATATCCTCCCAAACTTGTTCAGATTTCTAACCTCTATTTCATGTCATAGTCTTACTAGCATTTGAAACAATCAGTAACCCCATGTCTATTGTGTTACCCAGAAATTTGCTCCATAAATCAACGACCCTATTTCCAAACTAGTATTACAAAGATCTGTTCTAAATCTTAACATAACCAATTTATATCCATTGTTTTATATTCAGTTTTGTGTAGATATACCTAAAACTCCATTTATATCCCTTTCGCTATATATTTCCTTTCATTAACTTTATATATTTCATTCTTGTCACCCCTTACTCTTTGTCTTTCTAAAGAATGTAAATAAAGCTTTTTGTCAATTTTGTTTCATAAGGGATGTTTTTAATTCCTGGGATTTACTATGTCATTTTTCTCTGTATGCATTCAAGTGAATTTGTCACTTCTCTAGTATGGAGATCAACAAGATAAAAAATATTAATGTCATTTTGTTAATCCTTCTAGAAATAAATTCCACTTGTCTGTTTGCTTTATTTTGTAAATTTCTGCATTTTTTAGTCTTAAAAATGTTTACTACATCTACTTCTAGATACTTTTTTGCATTTAGATTTTACAATTTTAACATTGTCAACATGATATCTACTAACCACAATTATTTCCCAAGTTCAGTCTCCAACATTTATGCAGCATTAAACTACATCTGCTAATCTTTCATCCAATAAAAAAAGCCTATCTAGATTGTCTTGTAGAGATTTTGAATCGTCTGAAATTGTTTTCCATCCTAGTTTTGTGTCTGCAAATTTGCAAATGTCTGTCCAATCTTGTTAACCATAAATTAAATGATTAGACATCAGAGGTTACAGTCAGACTTAACTCCATTTATGCTAACTCTGCTTTCTCTTAAATAGCCAAGCCATAATCCAACTCAGTCTGGTGTGCATTGAGTCTTCTCAAGGGTCTCTGGCACTAGTATGACCTGGCAGGAACAGTGTATTGCTTAGAAATGTGATTTCATATCCTATACTGTGTGCTAAAAATTTGATTAGGCATATAATTTGCTTTTTCTTCAATGTAGGTTTTTCATTTATGAAGTACAGTGATTTAAAGGTTCTTTTGTGGATATGAATGCCTGGTTACAATCAAACAGTATTAAAATTGTCCTTAAGAAAACTGATAATAAAATCTTCCATTCTTAGCAGGATTTGAACTCGCGTCTGGGATATATCCTGCATACTGTGCTACCCCTTGTATACTTATGAAGAAAAAAATCCCCTCTGTTTAGATTTTTTCCTACCAACACTTTTTTTTTTTTTATCCCACAGTGTATGTATACATTACGGAAAGGTGAACCAGGATATCTTCATGTGGCATTTTTTCATCCCTACTGCAATGCTGGAGGAGGGGGAGAAAGGGTCCTTTGGTGTGCCATAAGAGCGCTGCAGAAAAAGTAAGTTTTCTTTAATTTTATTAGTAATACAGTTGTTATATTTTCATTTGCTAGAAAATCCAACAACACACACAACAATTATTCTACATGCTGGGCTTTAGTTGTTATAGACTAGACTTGATAAGAGTAGTTGGAGGGCAGCGATGGTGGATAGTGGGTACAGTACTAATTTACAAATGCCATGGAAGTAAACTAGGGCACTGGGGATGTTTTTCCGATATAGTCACCTATTGCCAAGGCCATCTAGGAATAGAATATGTAATTGTACACCTACCTACATTAATAAAAAAAAAATCATGTGCTGGGAAAAATTGTTTGTGGATAACAAGTGTTATCTCCTACACTATTGTATGCAGATGATTGGAGCATAGCTAGAGTCATCCAAGAATATTGACCACCAAAGTTTTGGTGCACCTCAGTTGATTGGCTACCTTGACACTAGGTGTTTCCCATGTGGTTATATCACCTACTAGATACAGTTGGGTAGATTCATGGAAAGCAGACTGGCAGATGTGTTGACAGGAGGGCTGCAATCCTGTTGTTAAGAGGCAAGTATTGTAATTATTAACATGAATGCACCAAGCCCTGTAGGCTATATAGCACTGTTACAAAATTCAAAAGTCCCTAGACATCAGAATGCCAATACAAGAGTAGAAAGACATGAAACGAATAATGTCAAAGGAATCAAATTCACCGAGGGTTTTATCAAGGGACATATGACTCAAACATCCAATGGGGAAAGCAAAGTTTCTGATTCTGAAAACAAGGCCATTCTTTAAAGAGCAACACGATTGTCAGCAAGACAATGCCGTTCTGACAGTAATTTTTTTTTTTACAGTAGTATGTACATAGTGTATATTATATTTACTCATTTCGAACATAATCCATACAGTACCAGTATTTTCTTTTAAGATACTTAACAAAATTTTATGTGGGTTCAGAAACATTTACTTTGTTAGGATTGAGCCGTATAAAATTTAAAATAATATTTGAATACTGTGTGTAAATATAATAAATTTTTGATCATGGGAAATAGTTTTATTTCAGCCAGGTACTCTTCAAAAATTACCATATTATATGAACATAGCAATAAATGTGATTGTTTTTCAGGTATCAAAATGTCAGGTGCTATATATACACTGGAGACACAGATGTTACCCCTCAACAGATACTTCAAAAAGCCCAGCAAAGATTCAATGTTATCTTACCTCGACCAGTAGAATTCATATTCCTCCAGAGTCGTACTCTTGTTGAAGCAAAGCACTACCCTTTTGTAACACTTCTGATGCAGAGTATAGGATCCATTATACTTGCGGGTGAGGCATTGTCTAAGTTTCGTCCAGATGTTTACATTGATTCCATGGGTTATGCATTTACTTACCCTGTATTTCGTTACATTGGAGGCTGTGTAGTAGGCTGTTACACACATTATCCAACAATAAGTACAGATATGTTAGGACAAGTTGCAAACAGAGTTGAAGCCCATAATAACAGAGGTTTTATTTCCAGAAATATATTTTTTAGTGCAATGAAACTAGGTTATTACCACATATTTGCTCTAATGTATGCATTAGTTGGACATTGTGCAGATCTAGTTATGGTGAACTCATCTTGGACTCATGGCCACATAACAGCACTTTGGGGGCAAGCTCATCATACACACATTGTGTATCCACCATGTGATACAAACAAATTCAAAAGTCTACCCATTATTCCAGACTCTGAGAAGAAATTAAAAAAAGTTATTTCCATTGGTCAGTTTCGTCCAGAAAAGGACCACTCTCTCCAACTGAGAGCTTTCCAGCGGCTATGTGAAATTATTGACCCAGATAATGCACAAGGTGTTCAGCTCGTCTTGGTTGGTGGTTGTAGAAATGAGGAAGACTATCAAAGAGTGGAAAATTTAAAGACACTTGCATCTACTTTAGGAATTAATGATAAGGTAGTTTGGAAACTCAATGCAACTTTTTCAGAGCTTTTAGAATGTGTTCAAAATGGGACAATTGGTTTGCATGCAATGTGGTGTGAACATTTTGGAATTTGCATAGTTGAATGCATGGCAGGAGGGCTCATCATGGTTGCCAATGATTCTGGTGGACCAAAAATGGATATTGTTGTTGAATTTGAGGGTCAGCAAACAGGTTATAGAGCTACAGATCCTGAGTCATATGCTCAGGCAATGAAAAAAGTTTTGGAATTGACTGATGAAGAGAGAGATCGTATTCGTATTGCAGCTCGAAACTCGGTTGACAGATTCAGTGATGATCAGTTTGAAATATCCTTCCTTAGTGTAAGTGAAAGCATTTTTTCTAGTGCAGTAGTAAGTTAATGAATTGCCAATATTTTAGGAAAATAGTTTAACAAACTGTTTAATATGCCTTTAGACTCCTAACTGGCAATAAAACAAGAGAATGTTGACCTAAATTAAAGATCAACATCATTAGTATTATTGAACTAGATTTCCTCTAATTATCTTGTGGTGTTAACCGGTTACTTGCCACATCATAATAATGTGACATTAATTTTTTTGTGAATTATGAAAATGCACCATCCCACCAAACACACACCGAAACTACGACGTTGGTACAACGTTCGAGCAAGTTTTAACACCACCTAACCAGTTATAACAACCAATATAGCAAGTTGTAACAACGTTCTAATACGTCATAAACACGTTAAGCCAAGATTTAACAACTTTATTTCAAGTTGTAACAAGCGGAAAATAGAGACAGTTTCGGTTTGTGTTTCCAGGGATGTCACTGTTGTTCATTAACAGTGTGGAATTTTATTTAGTTCAATTAACAAATAAGAACAGATATTTAACATTGTATAAACTGTACAGTTTGTGTGTGTGTCTTTCATGCAAGATACACACACAAACCTCCCCTATATGAACCTTTCCCCCTTCCCTGTTCCCCAGTCTTTGAAAAGTGTCCACATATAGAATCTTAAGAGGACTTGAAGTGCCTTCCACTATTAATGACATCGAAACATCCTTAAAAAAATTCTAATACCGTAGTTGATTTAGTTATCATAAAAGTGAAGCGGTAGCCTTTTCTTCTAATGAGAAAAAAGAATGTCAAGAATAAAAATTACTAGTACTGTACACATAGTTGAGAAAATGGAAGGGAAATTGCTCTTAAATATAAAATTAGACCAGTGAGGCAATTAAAGAAAGAATGGTGAAAGAAAGGGCAATGGTGAGGTGGAACAGAGCTTACCAGCTCTTCAAGTGACACTGTATTATCATAAAATGAGGAATATCTGGTGGAAGGAATATTATTTCATGTACTACTCCTATTAGTACTTTGCTTACAAAAGCAGACTAGTCTAATACTTTGTGGTTCAATAGTTATTCTTTGTTGTGTGTAAATTAATTTGCTCATGCATTATTTTTAATCAATAAGAAAAGTTTGCAAATTTTAAATTTACTCCAGATTTATTTATTTTCAAGCTAGTGACAAATGATAGTAATTGAGATCATCTATCTGTTCCGGAAAAAAAGAGTTTGTGTATTAATACTGTACAAAAGCATTCTTTTTTTTTTATTTGTACATAGCCTTCACAGTTCGGTGCCTTCTTTTGATAATTACTTACTTTTGTTGAATTTGTGCCTTTGCAATTCATGTACAGAATATACAATGCTACAATGTTTTTTTCCAAACTTATGAGCTATTGTAGTACAGTATATTAATTTTCAAGTACAGTGTGAATATATTGTTTGCAGTTTGTTTCCACACATTGATCGAAATTACAAAGTAGTTATCAAAGCATTTGAAAACTGATAATTAGTGTGGTAGTGTAGACTGATGACTGGTGTGGCACATGTGAATGAAAATCAAATATTACTCATGAAAATTTTAAAATGAATTGTAATGTAATAAAGTAGCTTGAATAATAATTTATACTACTTTGGTAAGCATATATGATGATGAAAGCCAAAAATCAAAATGAAAGAAAGATTGCCATGATTTTTAGGAGTGTATTTGAACTAAATGCACAGCATGTCAATTGACAAATTGATGTTGCAATGGAAATTTAGCCAAGAAAATTTGCTTCACATAGCTTACTATGATCTGTTCAAGGCATTTGCAATAATTTTCCATAATTGTTGCATGCTTTTGTTAACAAATAACTGCTGTAGTTGTATAAAAGCAAGCCAGTATGTAATATTCTGTGAATATTAAGATATTGCAACAGAGCTATCTGATAGTTGAAAGCATTGGAGATGCTCACTGGCTCAAGTGATGAATGAGTCTCAATGTGCTAGCTATCACATTCCTACCTATAATATGCAGTTATTAATAATAATAAAGGATATTTGTTATCGGTATTTATGGGTCATTGAGGGTTGTTAAAGAGCTAGTTTTGTTCATTACTAGAAAGGGGTGTGAATGTAAACATATTTGATAGTTTTGTGTTGTCTTATAGCAAACATATATTAATTTAGTCAGTAGACTAGTTTGCATTATAGTTGCACATGTATTGTACTGTGATTTTCACTACATTTTCTTGTAATTTAAACAAAAAAGATGTAGCAATAACTTGTCCTTATTTAGTTGCCAAATTATTATTTGTTTTTGTTGTAAAACATCGTTGATCAGATTCCCACCAAATAAAATAGTGCAGAGCATGAGTCATGAAAGGGAAAATACTTGGTTCATGCTGGACCCTTAAGTCAAAATGGCAGTAATGGGGAAGGAAGTCATTATAGGCGAGGTGAGGGGGAAGTAGGAAAGAAAAGCAGTATGGCCAAGCTAAAGGCAGGTCCCTGTGATATAAAAGGAAGAAACTGAACAAAGTAAGCAGAGAATGGAAGGAAAGCAAATGTGCAAAATAAAGGAGAAATATAATACACATAGGGACAGATAGTAGGTGAGCACATGTAGCTAAGTCAGATAATGCTTGCCAAGATGATTAGAGCACTTCACCATGTACTGTACTAAGAGAGTCAACAGCAACAAAGCCAGGGCTAAGGGTCATGCTAGGCATGTTAACAAGACCAGATTCAACGGTCCCTGTGGCGCAGTGGTAAGACACCGAGTGCTTTTGGCCCGGGCTCATATCCTGGTCGGGGGAGGATTGACCTGGTGCCAATCCTTAACTTTAGCCTCTGTTCACCCAGCACCTGGTTGTTAAACGATTTGGCGGGGTCGTATTCCAGGGAAAATTAGAATTAACAACCTGCCCTAAATTCTGTGTGTGCTAGTGCCTTTTCAAGAATGTAAGAACTCTTGTACAGGTATATATAAATAAATAATAATAAAAAATAAACAAGACTGAATTTGTGAAGTAGAACAGGAAAGAATTATAATTTGAAAGACAAGATGCAAAATGATTGTACATAATTCTATGAGTGTTCCATTGCTAAAGTGTTCAGTAATGAGTTAAAGTATAGTGTGTTTTGGCTTGGATAATTTAGATTAAATATTTTCAAAGCTTTTTAAATCTTTACATTAATGAAACTTGTATCTGCTACTTGGCATTGGTATGTCATTCATACACATTCCCAAGTACCCTGAACATGATCTGATTTTCCTTTGTACATGCTAAATATATATTTTGGTATAATCCAATTTTCTTGTATTACTGTATTATTTATTAGAAAATGTTCAAGTCTAAAGACTGCCTAGTTGATTTGAACATTTTCAAGCTTTTTGTTTTGTGCATGTCTTGATATATATAATTTGTTGCGTGAAAACATGTGTGTTTTAACAAGAATTATTTTAAAGTAAAAGATGTACCCAAAGTTTTGTCTTTCATTTTCCATGTTAAGTTTTTACTAGCAATTATTACTTCCAAATTTTTTATTGTACATAAAAATAATATTTTAAATTAGTATTTGAACAGGGTAAGAAGAACTTAAATGCAACAAAAGTATGCAACCATTGGAAACTACAGTTTTTGTTATTGATTTAAGGGGGCCAGACAGCACACGTACTGGTGCATTCCTGCGGCAGAAATATGCAAAGCCTTGCAGCTAAATTTCGGCAGAACAGTATTGCCTAGTCAGGTAAAATGCTGACTGATGCTTGGCATCCCATGCAAAGGCGAGTGCCAGCCCTCTACCCTACCCTACACACACAACCAACTGAAAGACTATTGACAACCAGTGACCACAGATGATAGGCTTTTCGTGCACTCAGGGTAGCCGAACAAAGGGATAGCCTAACACAAAATTTGCAGTGGCTCCTAAACTTAAGCCTAGTCAGGTAAAAATGTTATGTCTTCTAGTAAACTCTAGTGGAAAAAATGCAAGATGCCCACCATGTGCCAGGGGCACACCAGGACCCTATCAAAACCTGCCAATTCCCAGCACCTCACGTCGAAGCTGGCGCAGGATACTCGCACATGTTCATTGTAATTACCCAAGTGTAGTTACAGGATGAGAGCTATGCTCATGGTGTCCCATCTTCCTAGCGCACTCGTCATGTGACCCTCCCTCATAGGAGGGTCCCGATAGTAGAGTCGGGCTCGTTCTTGATGCACAATCAAATTTCAGGTTCAAATCCCGGGTGGGACAGAAATGGTTGGGCACATTTACTTCCACCTATAGCTTCTGTTCACCTAACAGTGAGTTGGTACTCAGGAGTTAGCTGCTTGTGGGATTGCATCCTGGGCGCGGTCAGTAAATTTGCCTGTGGGGGGGGGCGAGGGGGGGGTTGGCTGGAGAGCCCTCAATAAAAGCCAAACATGTATGAATACACTCTGACTTCCTGTGCCCCGACACAATGAATTATTATACGGTATTGTATAATGCTTTGAAACTGCCGATGGTCTCGCTTCATGCGGATCAACATTCAATCTCCAACCTTCCAAGTGGTTGGGTATCATTCTTTTCCCTCATCCCATCCCAAATTCTTATCCTGATCCCTTTCAAGTGTTATATAGTCATAATAGCTTGGCACTTTCTCCTGATAGTTACTGTACCTTCTCCTTCCACCACCACCTCACTTAACTTCTTCCAACAGTCTATGACTGTTTATGAAAGAATTGTTTAATATTTTCCGTGGCAACTTTGTTTAGTTAGCTTAGATATATAACTTCTTGTTCTTGATGTTCCAGGTCTCGGGAATTCTTCTTTATCAATTGTGCCAATTCCTGTTATTATTTTGTGTGTAGTGACCCTTGACCACTACCATATCAAGTTCAAGTATGTTTATTGAGACAAGAAAGAACTACATCTCAAAGGGATAGAGTAGCTTTGGCTATTTCTACCCCCCTATTACCATATAAATACCTTCTACAGTTGGGTTGAAAGTAGAAGACTCGCTTATAGAGAGCACCACAGCAGAGGACTATGTCTGCTATTTTTAAACAATGCTGTTTGTCGACCAAATTGTATTTTGGCTATTTTTCTGCCATGTTCCCCCTTTTTTATTTTTTTATTTTCTCAACACAATTTATACTTTAATCTTAATTAGTATTAAGTTTTAGTCTTTAGTGTTTTCCTGCCCGAAACGCTTTGCGTAATAGTGGCTTTAGGCATTGTGTGTATTAGCTCTATCTATAAATCCATCAATGTTTGTATCACACCCTGTATGTATGTACTTTACCTGAATAAACATTTGAATTTTGAATTTGAATTTGATAACCCTCTGCAAGACCTCTCTTAACAAATAGCAGAGGTCTAAAACTTTAATAAATTATTAAAGCTTTTATTTATTAACATGCATAGGTATACACAGGGTCGTAGGCGAACATATGTCATATACCACCCGTAGGTATACTTGTGGAAACTGAGTACCTAAATGAGCCACAGGGACGTTAGAAAGAACTTTTTCAGTGTCAGAGTAGTTAACAGATGGAATGCACTAGGAAGTGATGTGGTGGAGGCTGGCTCCATACACAGTTTCAAATGTAGATATGATAGAACCCAATAGGCTCGGGAATCTCTACACCAGTTGATTGACAGTTGAGAGGCGGGACCAAAGAGCCAGAGCTCAACCCCCGCAAGCACAACTAGGTGAGTACATCAATGTGCCACTATCCTACATGAAGAATTACAAAGTGTAAATAAAAAACTAGCTATAAGTTCATTTAATATCCTAATGACAGTTTAGTTCATTTATTATGCACCCCATACCCATGACATGGTTCCCCCCCCCCCCAAACAAAAAAAGGTCTGGGAATTTTTTATATTTATGATCCTTTAATTGTGATATCTGTTCCAAATTCACTATACAAATATAAATACTTATATATAATATTTTAACTGTAATCCTGTATTTTTATAATTAAAGTATTGTTATTATTATTTAATGCTTAAAGGCCATTTACGCTTCCTTATATCAGAGTAATTATTGAAACATAAACAAATACACTAACGATCCTTGACGGCGCTGACTGGCAGACACGTCCTCGGCCGTTGCCCAGTTATTCGGCCAAATATTTTTTTTTTAGTTAAACGAGAAGGCGAAGAAGCAGCAGACAGCAAATATGTGAAATACCCACGTAAACGACGAGATGATGGAGTGTTGAATTTGGTGCTTGATGTAGTGTGTGGTGTTGTATAGGTACTGTAGTGGGAATAGGGAGGTCTGGGGTTAAACAGAACTAAAACGCAGTCACCAACAGCCATGGATGAGATGTCGGGTTGCGTAAAGTCCCTGTTAGACAACGATGAAGAATTGTTGCAGGCAGCAGTGGATACCCTGTTAAAGGTAATATTAATTATGTGACAGGCATGAATGCTCCATGACTCAAAAATGATATTTAATCTAAGTCTAGTCTAAGTAATCTTTAAGTCTATTTAACACAAGGGGACACAGGTGGAAACTGAGTGCCCAAATGAGCCACAGAGATATTAGAAAGAACTTTTTTAGTGTCAGAGTGGTGGACAAATGGAATGCATTAGGCAGTAATGTGGTGGAGGCTGACTCCATACACAGTTTCAAGTGTAGATATGATAGAGCCCGATAGGCTCAGGAATCTGTACACCTGTTGATTGACGGTTGAGAGGCGGGACCAAAGAGCCAGAGCTCAACCCCTGCAAACACAACTAGGTGAGTACTCAGTTTGACAAGCATGACCAGCAAATTCTCATAAAACATTTTGGTAGACAACACCTTTTACAGAATGTTGTTAATAATATATTATAGGAACACTATGTATTTCTATATTCTTATATAAATAACTACTAGTGATGAATGAAACGAACAACTAACTTTATATAAAGTTTTTTTTAAAGTGTGCAAGATTGACCTGTAGAATATATACATATATTATTTGGTGTAACAATATTTTGGAAAACATAGATCATCAATAGATGGCTCTTAGTTAAACTACTGAAAATATCAAACTTTCTTTGGCAATGGATAAATTGTAAAAACAATATGTACTGTACTATGTAAATGTGTTGTTGTTTTCTGGTAAATGGTAGAAAAATGATACACAGAAGGGTCACCTGGATTTAGAGTCATGCAGGTAAACACTTTCATACTAGGTTTTGAAAACCATACCAGGTTTTTTTGAAATTCATATCAGGGTGAATTTCAAAGTTACATGGGTTGAGAACTTGAATAATCCTGACTAAAGTGACACAGTGGTAAAACACTCGCCCCATGCTTCGCAAGCAATTTGGCCTGGGTTTGTATCCTAGGTGGGGAGGATTGACTAGGTGCCAATCCTTAACTGTATGACTCTGTTCACCCAGTGGTGAATGGATACCTGTACATGGTTGTTAAACAAATTGGTGGGTCGTGTTCCGGGGAAAATTAGGATTAAGGACCTGCCTGAAATGCTGTGTGTTTTATATGGCTTTGCAAGATTGTAAGAACTCTTGTATATATAAATTAAAAAACAATTAAAAAAAATAATGCACAGGTTTAGCTGGGCTCCTATTGACACTACATTCTTGTGTTTTATTATCTTTTGGGGGGAATTTTTCTTCATCACTATACTGTACATACCAAACATTCTGAATTACCCAGTATGTTCTGAATTTGTGGCTGGAAAAAAAGGCATTTTATTGAGTAATGATTAGACAAAAAGGACTTTTGGAGGTCTTTGATACCGAACCTTATTTTTCTCATACAATATATTGTTAAATTTTATTTGTGTGTGTTTAGATTTGCAAGATCATAATCCAAATACAAATTGTTGCAACTTTTTCCTTTTCTCTACATCCCAAAGTTACAATGGGCTTACCTTTATCCACTATATTTTGTACCACTTTTGGATATGTAGCCAGTTCCTTATAATCACTTATATGCTTAAAATAGCAGTTTGTTTGCATGATTTATCCTGATTTTTTAATTTTTATACTTTTCAGTTAGTTCGTCACATTCGTTTCACTAGTCTTGTACATTATTACATTCAAAACTTGAACCAGCCTGTTTTAATTGAACCAGCATTAAAACAAAAAAAGAAATCTTTGCCTTCCTGCCCTGTGACTGAAACAGAACAGTAAGAGTCATCAGATTTTTATGCTGTATAATTATTTAACATCATTTTCTTATTTTTTGTCACTATTGTTTTACTATATAAAGTGTCTGGGTACATAAAACTTGAGCCTCCCTGAATACATCACTGGATATTGAAGAGCTTTGCCATCCATCTGCAGAATCAACTTAAAATTCAGCAGTAGTCTGTTGTGTACATAATGTTTATCTCAAAATGAAAGTCTGGTCCTGGCCATTTATACTGCTCTCCATATTTTTCTCTCAATAAAGTTTCCATCATAATTTTTCTTAAAGTTAGACAGATTGAAGAGCACAGTCAGACCTTTCTTAACCACCTTAAATACATATGGTATACCAGAAGATTACGTATCTAGACTCGGTGTTGTTTACAGTCTGCCTAAACATAGCCTTAGCTAACCTATTATGTTACCCACTTTTCCATATTTTTTGGAATTCACTAAGTTAAATTTGTTTCTAGATTGCAGAGAACATATTGAAGGATCCATCAAATGAGAAATTTCGCAGTGTGAATCTGAGCAGCAGTGTAGTGGAGCAAAAGTTGATTCCTGCCATAGGTGCCTTGGAAGTTCTCTTCCTCATGGGATTTGAGGAGGTAAGATTGTGTGCCCTCTACTTCGAAAGTCATGTTTATATTTACTTTTGAAATGGCTTCTGAGCTATTCCCAAGGCAATTGGATTCCAATCTGTTGCTATGGAAGCATTGGAAGAAATCTGTCTAGCCTTGCTAAGTACTGTACAGTACTCTTCAAACTACAACTTTCCCATTATTCCACTACCCCTGACCACCAGCAGATGGCAACACCTTCAACACCAGGTCCCCAACTTTGAGCCCTATTAGATCAGCAATTACTGCAACCCGTTCTCGCACTTGCTTTTAGTCAATACTGTATTGGCTTATTTAATAAGTGCATATATGACATACTAATTGATTGTGAATATTTTAGTTTACCTTGAAAAGCTTCATAGAAAACATCGACCTCATCTAACCTTCTTAGTATGTTAAGATAAGCATCTTATTGCTTCTTATTTACAATTATTACTTAACCTATCAACGGTATAGGTTAAGTAATAATTGTAATTAAGAAGCAATAAGATACCTATCAACGGTATAGGTTAAGTAATAATTGTAATTAAGAAGCAATAAGATGCTTATCTTAACATACTGAGAAGGTTAGGTGAGGTCGGTGTTTTCTATGAAGCTTTTCAAGGTAAACTAAAATATTTACAATCAATTAGTATGTCACATATGCACTTATTAAATAAGCCAATATTGACTATAAGCAAGTGCGAGAACGGGTTGCTTACTCATAGTAAAACTATTAAAATGTGCAACATTACTTGGACGCTGCATTTTTTACATAAATGATATAATCAGGGGTGCTATTGTGAGTGAAAATGTCAGGTGCTCCCCAGCAGTGTCTTTGTAATACATTTTCCCTCTACAGTACTGTACTGGGAAATGAAAATGGATCTATCAATGAGTTTTAATTTAAGGTCATTCAAGAGGCAAGCAAGGAAGGCTTAAGTATTTACTGTAAGTTGGAATTGATAAAGACAGAAATGTAAGAATATAGTAAAGTACTTTAGTACAAAAACAAAACAAAAAAAATTAGATTTAAACCTTCACTCTGCAAAATTGCTTGTTTCAGGGAAATGATAAGTTGATTCTTCCAAAAGATGATCCACTCACCAATTTGCGTACATACCGACAGCAGCTGCTAAAGTTGAAGCAAGAGCGATTGAAGAGATCCCCAACAACTGCTAAAGGAAGTGTCTCAAATATTCTGACTCCTGAATTACAAGTAAATAACATAGCCTACTCGGGTATTTTTTTATTGTAGTTGTAATAGTGGTAATTCCTAATACTGTAACTGTATTACAGTACAGTACTATATATAACATTTTATCTCAAAAGGATAAATTATCAATAAGTGAAAGAATACAACAATAGATGACAATCTATCAAAGGTCATTATAGGTACATTTCAGAGTACAGGTTACAATTTTGTCAGACATTGGGGAAATGGCTTGAGATATCTTTCTTGAAGAATATAATTCAGCTTTCACTTAATTCACATTTCTGTTAGAACACTACTGCTGGGATCCAATATTAAACTAGGACAGTGATGCATGTTAGGAAATTAATATTTTTTTAATGGTATAGTTGGCTTGAAAATATCCATCAAGAAGTAAGTTAGCATTGTAGAGTGTTGAGTAAAGTTACTCAAGAAAGCAAAGTCCTTATAATGAAAAGAGGTTAACTTAGCCATGATAAAACACAAAGCAGGGATGTGTGAACCTTACCTTGAGATGGTTTCAGGGCTTAGTATCCCTGCGGCCCGTCCTCGACCAGGCCTCCAGTGTTGTTGGACACCCCTTACCTTATGGTTACCTTGTGTTGGTTTCGGGGCTTAGCGTCCCTGCTGTCCCTAGTTAATCAATGCACATACTAAGAGCATATCATTGTATTATCATAAATTCAATGTTGAATTAACATGAAATAACATTGATAATGTTGATTCAATGTTGAATTATCATTATTCTTGGATAGTGTGCCCAATGGGTAATGCTAATTTGTTATTTACAATTTTTATAGCAGAGAAAATTGAGCAAAGAATTTCAAAGAAAGTGTCAATAAATTAAAGAGAAACCTAAAAGAGAGAGACAAGATACTGAAGATGTTTGCAGATCATGTTATGATGTTTTCTTTGGGGATGTCCTACAGTTCCTGGAGCTATCGGGCTAATGTGTGATATATTAGACTGGGACAATATTCTATGGAGTTCAGCCTACCTGGGACCACGAGCCAGAACCTGGCCTCTCGGAGAAGTTCAGGGAGTAATGGCCCTGGAAAATCCCCCTGTGGTTGGGGGTTTTCCTTATCTGCCATCGACTGGGGTTAGGCACCCAGAATGGTAGGCATAACAAAACAATCCCCACATGGTAAGAAAATTAGAACCAAAAGCCGAAAAAAAGGCAGAACTCCCTCCAATCCCAAGGAAACAAGCAAATGCCACCCTCCACTGCTGCCCTACTCATCAGTGCAGCCCTTCTCTCCTCGAGAGGGGGAGGAGGGAGCCCTAGGCCTCCCCGCGCCGGCTACCTAGCACTCTAGTTCGTTCGCTAATGTGGTCCGGGGGTGGATGTCTTCTCTGACCTCGATTTCCAAGGCAGTATTGTGCGGTCATGGCAATCCTTGCAGTGTTGTTGTGTGTGGTGGCCAGGTGTCCTCATCAGTGCTGGGGCTGCATGAGCTTAGGGGCATCCTTCCCTAGGCACCCTGTGAGTACTGCCCTTGAATGTTGGGGCTCCCTTCCCTGGTGCATTCGGGAAAACCATTTCCATAGAGATTTTTGCTGTTCGGCATTTATCCTGCCCTTGGGGCCAGCTGGGGTTTCGTGGCCCTTGTTTGGTCATGGGTAGGGAGTGGTATCGTGCTGTTTGGGGCGTCAAGGTGTTGTGCAGCCTGCCTACCTACGCGGCGGCTGGTTCCTGTTTCCTCTGAGGACGTTGTACTTTTGCGGGGCTTTTCTTGTTTTTCATCCTTGGAGGGGGGTCTGCCTGGTGTGGCTATAGTTCAACTTATAATATTTTGGTGGCCCTCTGCTAGTCCCCCATGATTGTACACATCACACGGGTTTCAATGTTTTGATCTTCTCCTTGTTAGCTTTGGGTCTTAATCGGTTTGCCCGATTAAGTCCCAAATGCTACACCTTGCCCGGGCTTCCTGTAGCAGTCAACCTACGAGCCTTGCAAAACCCTGTAGGGGCTCGGTGGACCTATGGATGCGTCTTCCGAGTTCCAGCCCGCCAAGTGCGGGTTCGAAGGTTGCTGTGTGCCCTTGTCTCAGAGTGACAGTCATCTCTTTTGCCTCCGTCATGCTGCCTGTTGGGTCAACAACATCTTTGACCCGGTGTGTTGCAAGTCGTGTTCTCTGCTTGTTCTCCAGTACTATTCTGATGACATTACTGTTAGAGTACAGGCAGCATCCATGTTGCATGCTAGATTTAGGTTGCTGCAACGTGCTAATGAGTTGGTAATGAGACTTGGGCAGCTTTGGGGGCTGTCCCATTTGTGTTGGGGATGGAGGCATTAGAGCCAGTTCCTCCTGCCGAGGCTTCTGGGTCCCACCAGTAGACCTTCTTTTCAGTCTTTCCCCCTGGACTGTGCCTTTTCTTCAGGGGTAGAGGGTATGGGGGTCTGCTCTGCCCCGGTTCCCAACTTGGGGGATCCCAGGGCTGGGGAGGAGTCGACCCTTTGACCCTGCTAGGGTGTTGGTGCCCTCTTCGTGGGGCTTGTTGTTGCAAGGGATGGGGGTTTTCTTACCTCCCTTCCCTGTATGTGTATGATTTAGGGTCGGATCCTCCCTGGGTTCGGTTCCAGGGTCTCTTGGGTTCCTCAGCCCTGTCCTTCTGGAGGTTTTCTGCCTCTTAAATCTCTCCCAGAGAGGTTCGGGAAGCTCTTCCTGCGTACCTCCTGCGAGACCCAGATTCCGCCTTCGTGATGGATCCGTCCTTATTTGAGTTCGGTTCTTCTTTCCCGTATTGAGGTTCCGGAGTCTTTTTGGCTGGCAGACTGCCCATTCTTTTTGTTGGGGGCATGGCATGGGTTCTGTTGGACCCCACTCTTGAGTAGCGAGAATCTTCTACAGGTTTACCTGGGGGGCAAGTTTGGGGACCTTAATGCATGCTTGTTTGCCCCTGTGCTTTCTTGGGATGTTGGCCTTGTGCAGTTGCACATGCAGGTTTCTACCCTTTTGGCATTCTTGGTTGCTGAGGACTTGCGCGCCCGTGGGCATTTGGCTTCAGTCTTGCGCTTCTTTTCCCTTCTCGAGCTGTCTTCGGCCTGGCTTCAGGAGGATGTGGAGGCGTTGAGTGCTGGGCCTTTGTCTGGTGTGCTGTCCTCAGCGGCTCAGGCATCAGCAGTGCTGTTGAAGCTGTTTGTGCCTATCCTTTAGAAGGCGGTGACTCTTAGAAATGTGTTTCTTGTGTGTGCTTAGAAATCTGTTTGTATTTCTAGGTTTTAATAAGAGGAATATATTTTTTTCCAGGAGAGGGAGTTAAAGCTTAGATCAAATCTTATCAATGAATTTGAGAGAGTTCTCATATATGAGAGCCCAGCAATCCAAGAAAAAGCACGACATATCATGCCAGTCCAGGATTTACACGAGCGAGCAAGAAGCAAACTGTCGGCAATAAATAAGGAAGTAAGGAAAGATGAAAAACCAATGGATTTCCAGGTATTTTATTATTTTCTATCCTTGTTAGATATTGCATTTATTAGTTTTGTAGTTTGTTATTGTGGTGTTTTCCATCTCAAAAATGATCTTGGGAAATCACTTCAAAATATCTCTATTCTTTATAATAATGTCATTAATATATATTTTGAGCATTTTGGCATTACACGTACTGTACAGTATAGTGAAAATTTTACATAGCACTGTAATATTAGTGTTGAAAATCCAGCATGCTCAGTGCCAAGGAAATTAATGTTAACAAATTTTAGATACTGTTACTATACCATGCATGTTAGCTAAACACACAGTGTAACTTTTCATGTTTTGTATATTATGCAAAATATATTCAGTAGTAGGTATTAAAAAGCATTATTAGTTATCCCAGTAGTGTAGCTTTATGGTTTTTCATATTTATTTCTTCTCACAGGTTTTTGTTCAAAAGTTTTAGAAAATCTCATCGTATTTACTTGTTACTCAAAATACTTGAGTCTGACTAAAAATGTATTGGTGCTGGTAGTATCCAGGCAACGGCAAGTTTACAGCGATAGCACTTCCATATTGTAAACAAATTCAGCCCTGCCTGACCAGTGCCATCTGCCATATTTACACAACAACATACAATTCATGAAATAAAACACTGGAGCAGTAAAACCTCAAAAAATACTGATAATATTTGATTAAAAAAGACCATATGAAACTATTAATAATATATGGTAAACACTTTACATCAACAGATTTATATTCGCAGCAAAAAACTAAAAAATATTATGTGATAGCTGCTTAAAGTAAAAGTTGCATGCAAAAGTCCACTAGTATCCTTCATATTCACTGTTCTCATCCCTTGCTTCACCAAATATCTCATCACCAAGTTGTCTTAATTAAGCATATCGTCATATGGATCATTTTAATCTTTATTTGTTAACTTGTCCTTTTAAATACCCTGTAGTACATCACATTGTGAAGTACAATATAAATCCCCAATGGCCAAAATAATCATAGCAGTTTGCAAAATTGCTGTTCCTTTTTTATATTTGTGGTTCCATGTTTAGGTTAGGTTTGGGTAATTTAGTAGACCATTTTTGTAACATTGTGACTATATTGTAATATGGCTGTATCTGCACCCACATTACAATGTAGCCAATTGATGATCAATTGTATGGAGAACCAGATTTTGGATGTTCCACTGTATGTCACATTTGCATTTCCTCTTATAGGACTGTGTGCTAGTGGAGCTGTTAGCATGGTTCAAGAATGATTTCTTTAAATGGTTTGACTCGCCAACATGCCAACAGTGTCACTGTCAAATGACAGCTGAGGGTTCCAAGCCTCCCACAGAAGATGATCATGCTTGGGGAGGGAGCCGTGTTGAAGGATATTGTTGTAAAGTAAGTTATTAGCTATAAATGATACCTAGTACACTATATTTGTTGCCTCATAGAATTTCTAATCTAATCCTACTCTAGTGCTGTGATACTAGAGCTCAAACATGCCAGAGATCATTACCTTGCTTTTAAAATGATAAATCTTATGACTGTCTTCTTTCAAAACTGCATATTTATATGCAGCATCAAATCATAATTATAGCACTCATAAGAGGCACTGATGATTCTGAGAGTTCAATGAGAATATAAACCAAGTTTGCAATATTTAAAAATATTTTCATAATTCCATCATTTGAACTCAAAACAGGGATTTGTGATTACAATTATTAATAGCCAAAGAAAAATATTGCTTCTGAATCTTTTTTTCATGCTATTGCTTTTTTTACAGGACTGTGGTACTGTTGACCGTTTTGTACGCTATAACCATCCTAGCAAACTTTTAGAAACAAGACAGGGGCGTTGTGGAGAATGGGCAAACTGCTTTACCCTTCTATGTCGTACTCTTGGGATGGATGCAAGGTATGAAGAACATAATGTATAACTGAAGCCTGAATATTTTGCTTAATCTTGGGTTCACTGCAAGCCAAGAGGTAACACATGCCATCTCACAAATGGAAAATTGAAAAGAACCATAACAGTGAGTATAATAAATACAGGAAGAGATTTAATTATGGTCGTTGCACAAAAATAGAAATGCCAGAGAACTGGCACAGTGTAATTGTCATGAATCTCTTTAAGTTGAAAACCAAATAAGATTTGTATATTTACATACTAATTAGGATTTTTTAGCCTTATCTGCATACTGTTTTCAACAAGATTTGCTGACCAAAAAATTAAAAACAAAACTGAATCATCTTACAGAAATTATTGGTTTAGGAGTCTACTTAAATGTAGACCAGTTTTCAACAGTGTTTTCCAGAGATGTAATGATTATTAGTTAATGTTCAGTTTGGAGATTCATGTACAATGAAAGAATGATTTTATAAGTGCCATGTTATTCATAACTATTTTCAAGAAGGCACTGAATAAATTTTCTATAAAATGTTCAGCAGCATTCACATAAGAGTCGTATGTTTACAAAATGGTCACATACACACCAGAACTAGAATTGAAATAGAAAGTGTGAGCTGTCACATTTGACCTAATAAACACTATCTGAGGCCTAATATAGTACATATGTGTGCTATACTAGGACTAGGAATATGTCAGTTTGGGTTTTAGCTTTATTTTTCCAGATTCTATAAAATGAATAGTACCAAATTCAACTGTCTAATTATCCATTACATTAATATATGTATGATGGTCCATGTAGTTACTAAAAGTACTGTCTAAACAGGAGGATGGGGTGTCGTACCATAAGGTAGTGTACTTGGCTACATGTTGTGGAGTATTCTCTTGAGTAATTACTAGTGTTCATGAAATAAAGTTAACCTGTCATGGCTCCTGGTTCATACTGTGCATAATGTGATATTGACATTAAGTAAACTTTACACCAAATGGAAAACTAATATAATTACATTAAATAAATCAGTTTCTAAATCCAGGCTTTAATGAATTGATGTACAATAACAATAACAGCTTTTACCTTGCAGCTTCATTTAAGAATATCTGTGCCATTCCTCTTGAACCCTAATTTTAATTTAATTAAAAGAAGGAGCTAGTTTCATAACAGCTTAAAATCCTTCCAAACCCTTCCTTGGTATCAAAAGAGACTGTCAAGTGAAGGCTCGTATCAGTTACTCATTTGCCTACCTGGCTATCCACTTTGAATGCCACCAGGTGATGTACATAATACTGTACATATGGGTAATGCTTCACTGTTCATGGCAATGAGGCTTTGCATGTCCCCAGATTCTTTCTGGCATGTTTCCTCAGTTCAGTGCTGTTGGTGCATAACAGTGACTTTGCCCTTGAGCCCATACCCTAATCATTCCTATCCTCTTGAGTATTGTGATGTGATTTAGATGATTGATTCTGTGTCCAAGGTCTTTTTCAGCCACTTCCTTAGCCTGTGTGTTGGTACAGTAACTTGTTTTGTGTACCCCTAGTTTGGGTCTGTATCTGTTGCCCCGTATTTATGTCTATGTATATCTCTTTATGCATGTAGTTGTATTGGAAGGGTGGCTACTAATTTATATGTGACTTGTGCTAACCAGAATGTGTTGATAATGAACAATAAAACTATATTTTAAGATGAATTTCAGATGTGTAATCATTGTAATATGTCAAAAGAATTTTTCATATTTCAGGTATGTGCATGATTATACTGATCATGTTTGGACTGAAGTTTACTCACAGTCTCAAGGTCGATGGTTACATGCTGATTGCTGTGAGAATAAGTTGGATAATCCACTTATGTATGAACATGGCTGGGGCAAGAAATTGACATACATTTTTGCCTTTTCAAAAGATGAAGTTGTAGATGTTACCTGGCGATATACCACTAAACAAAATGAGGTACTCAAAAGAAGAAATGAGTAAGTATAATTTTGTGTTCTTGTAAACTAGACCCAACTTTTGTGTTGTCATCCTTATCTGTGGGTTTATAAATTGGTTCTTTTTATGTTTAAACTTCTGATGTCTTTCTTTTCTTGGGATTCTTAACCATGGATGTCAGTAGCAGTCTGCAGTAGTTAACAGTACAGTATAAGTACTATATTTTGCCCATCTGGTTTCCATACACAATCTCCTTCCCACTTCTCCCATGGGACTTCTCCCATCTGTATTCCTTTACTGTGTATTCCTTTTCAAGCTGCTTTTCCTGTACATACTGCATACAAAAATTGCTTGCTTGTATGAGCGTGGCTCTTCTTCCTTCTGACTGTTGCTTTTCAGAGGTGAACTTGCCCAGCATTGGTCAACCTTGTCAATACTGTAGTTGAGTCTCAGCTGCACTTTCGTGGTAATTTCCAGTAATAGCATGTTTGGGGGACAGCTTTGCACCTTTTGGCAGACTTTTACTTGGAATGCCCAGACCTTTGGTTAATATTGTAGGCTCTTGTATGGGATTTGTTTTCTGTTCTTCCTCCAGTATTTCTACATACTGCATGTTGTTGATTTCCATCCAGCCCCATTCTGGTGATATTGAAGATTTCTCAATACAACATATCATTCTTGACTAGAGTTAATGTTCACATCCCTGTTCAAGAATATGGATGACTGCTGTCTTTTGTCTGCCAGGTAGTGCTGAGACAGTCGTGACTAATTTCTCTGCATCTTCAGGATACCTACTGTAATACCTGCTTCCTGAAAGTTTTGAATGTGATGCACCATCTATCCCTTTCAGACTCAACATCCAGAATGTTCACAGGACTGACTAGTGGTTCTTCTGGCACTTTGGCTTAAGAAAATCAATGCCCTGGCCTACTTCAATGACTGGTTGGTTTGGGTTCCTAGTCACAAGTCTTGTTTGAAAGCTATGATTCATTGTTGTGCAAACTGGAAGGTTTATTTTTGTTTAAGTTAACTAAGGACCAGGTCTTGTTGACTCGGTGTCATCAGTGATTGGTTTGGGATTCGGGAATGCCGTTGTGCTGAAGACCCGACATCATGCTCGTTTGCTTGTTTTCTTTGAGGAGTTCTGTCCACACGTTTGACTTTTAGTAGTAGTTTCAACCAGAATAGGGGTTTGTTTTGGGATACTTACCTTCCTGGGTGCCTGACCCAATCGATGGCAGACATAGAATGCTCCAAATCACATGTGCATTTCTATAGGCCATTGCTCCTCATGCTTCTCTGAGGAGGGCCAGGTTCTGGCTCATGGTGCCCGGTAGGCCTAAGAACTCCATTCACACTGATGCCAAAGTCTAATATATTCATATCAGCCTGGATATGCTCTGGGGAGCCTCCGGGTCTCATCCAGAAAATGGCGTTTTATTACATTCAACGTTGGTTTTTTGATAAAGAATGAGTTGCCTGCCTTTCAGGGTACACTTCGAGCTAAGGCTTGGTTGATCCATCACTGTTCATTATAAAAATCTTCCTGATGGCTTCTGTACTCTTTATATATGAACTTTTATGGGGTGTTACATACATACTCTGTTAATTTACTCCCTATATTTTGTTATCCTGCTCCAGTGATTGCCTGTCGTGGTTAATTCAACAAGTGATGAAGTTCAGCTAACCAAAGGCATACCCCTTGGGCATGTGATCATGGCCTTAGGAAACATGTTGCTTAAGGCTAGATGAATGTTTTACATTGTGTATTCATGTGTATCTGGCATTAATGACCTTGTTACATTGTCAGAATAAATATTGACCAATCGTCAGTCAACAGTTCTCTTTCGTAACACAAGCAAAGAGGTTCATGCTTACCAGCAGTGAGTATGTGCTCGGTTAGCCTAAGTAATTAAAGAAATATTAAATTTTTCTTTAACAGAATGAAATAGATTAGGCTTTCTTATAAGAATTTCTTCAGAATATCTTTAGCCATAAATAATGCCCAATTTGGGAATCCTGTTTATAAAATGAAATGTGTGTATTATACATATATTTACATTATTATATAATTATTATTTCAACATTTGTTTTTTTCTAACAGTTGCAGAGAGACATGGCTAGTGTCAACTTTAAGGGATATTAATAAACAGCGGCAGGCAGCGTTCCCCGAAGCAAAAAGACATTTTCTGGAGTATCGCCTTGTATCAGAGATTGCTGAATTCTTTGCCTCTAATCGCACCTTGAAAGAGTGTAAGGATAGCTTTTGGGTAGATATCATAATTGTAAATACATTTAAAACAGGAAAGAAGAAACTGTACAATAAATATACTAATAATTAAAATTAGAGCATAAGGATATAAGAAACTGCAGAAGACCTATTGGGCTATATGAGGCAGGTCTTATTTATATCCAAGGGTTTTGTTATACTGTTTTATATAAGATACGTAAGAAGTTAGTATCTAGCATTGTGCCTTGGTTATGACTGTGCAATAAAATGTTTAACTCTAAAAGTATGTGTAATTAAATTTAACTCTTTTTAAAACAGCGGAAAATGAGGGAAGATGTTCTGGCTCCTTGTCTTGGCGTTTAGCAAGGGGTGAAACACAGGCCATGGGCAACTCAAGTTACACCTTCCAGCTTAAACAAGAAGAAATTGAGAAAAAAGAGTTTATGGTGAAGTACTCATCAGCTAGAGATGAATATATGAGAGTTTCAGCTGGTGAAGTAATAAAGGGTTGGCATGCTGGTATCAAATCAGCAAAAGATATCATAAGGAAACATGAAACTGACTGGAAAATGGTATATATTACACGAAGAGGCAAGTTTATGGCTGTTCTGGATTCCCCTTTTTTATTGTTTTTGTTAATATTAGTTAATCTTAATGTATCTATTGGTTATGCAGTATCAACTTTAATGCATTATCTTTATATCTGAATAGTTATTTTCATACAATATGTTATATTGTTGCAAATTAGTCTGTTTAAATATTTAATGATGTGATTATTTGAGAATGTCATTTTACAAATTGAAACTTAGTGTTAGTAAAGTGAAGCTTACTATTTAAAATGGAGGAGAGAGAAAAGCTGGACATTTATTGATTTAATTTTTTCTAGTACCGTACATAGGGATGGCCACCTGTAATAAATATCAGTCCTGTTACAGATATTTTCAAGACTTTTTTATACTTGCAGAAAGGAGCAGTATTGGTGAAATAAGCTGGATAGTGGATTGGTCCAACACAGGATTAAAGGCTGCTTCAATATTGATTGTGTTTCAGCATGCCACATTTGAAAATGGCAGTGTTACATGGCAGCTTTGTACTGGAGACAAGTGTTTCTTGGGCAACAAAGGTACCACAGTAGCTGTGAAGCTAAATTGTGTGTTTTGAAGACTTTTGAATGAATAATGTTATCAAGATGCTTCTAGCGTACACAGTTTGATTTTAGGCAAGGGGTTCCTTTACTAGCTAAGATGTTAGGTGATGCTTATCAAAAGCATTACTATAATGTCATTAACATGTTTTTCTTACTTTTTCTTTAAGTAGTGACAGGTTAGTTAAAATATAAGTATATTTTGGTAGCAGTCTTTCTTTTAAACATATTTCGTTGAAAATGACAGAAAGTTTTAGATTTATGATTCTGGCACGAATCTTCTCAATATTCCCTTATGTTTTTCTTCACTGAAGCAGGAAGATTAAAAATTAATTCTACAAAAGTTCATTTTTACTTATTATTTGAGTAACGCCTAGTGATGCATTTCGTAAGGTCTCGCCTCACATTCTCAAAGACAAATTCTTCTGTGTTAGCACCTGATTATATCCTCTAATACCCCATTATATAAGACCCCATTAATGCCTCATGTATGCCATTCATCCATGTCACCTACCACCTCACCATTAAAGGATATAATCAGGTGCTACCCCCCCCCCCCCCCTAAGTCATGCAACCATAAAAGTAGCAATGTTGGTATGACAGAGGATGATGGAGTGGATTTGTGTGGGTAATTGAGACACTAAATTTGAGACTTAGAATGCTGTTCATAAGATCAAACATTCATAAGTGGGAAAAATCCTGTAATCATTGCACCCTATCCATTTATTAAACCTATTTTTGTTCTTTCTTTCTCCACCTCTATAATACAGCTTGATAATATCTGTCTATTGTGTATGTCTTATTAAATGTACTGTACTGTATTGCAAAAAAACATCATTTCTATTTCCAGAAGGTGTATTGGAGCTTACCGAAGGTGACTTGCAGCATGAAACAACAAAACTAGAATTATCAGCTCATCTTTCAAATGGTCAAGGAGAAAATGCCTGGCAACAGGCTCAACTCTTTCGTCAGTCAGACAGCTCTCTTGATCAATTCCCATTTCTTATACACATTAAATATTACTAAACTGTGTACATGGTATAGATTACACAGCTGAGGAAAGTTTTTATGAAGCTTTACAAAACTTGACATTAATTTAAGGAAATGGTTGTATGTCATCTCTACCTCACACCTTTTTAAAGTCTTGGTGATGCCAGTACAGTTGTATATACCATGCAATACTGTTTTCACTTTTGTACCTTGAGGTATGGTGCATCAGGCGCATAAATATGTCAAGAAGTCCTACAGTATATTTTGTCACACAAATTATATAAGTTGAGGCAATAATATGTAATGTAGTTCTGTACCCAGAGTAATAAATTATATAGTGATTATTATGGAAAGCAAATTTAACACTATTGTTACTAGACTTCTGTATTTTTATAAGACGCTACTTCATGTTTATCCATAGGTTATTTTATCTAGAAACACAATTTGGCTGTTACAGTTGTCGAATGTATTATTGTTAGTCACGTGACGGATATTTTCAAATAATACAGAATATTTTAATCTGCTCTGGGGGGTTTAATAAAAGCTTTGTGTTTGTATATACAAACTGGCTTTTGTGGACAACCTTTATGTTTGTAGTAAAGGATGCTGCATTTGTGAGATAAAAATTAAGGTAATTATTGTAATTTTATCTTTAAGGAAAATCTATGATATGTCTTTAGGCTGGCTAGGTTTGTGTGGCTTATCTGTCTTAATTGGTTGACATCCCAGTCTACGTATGTTCTCACAGAATCAGTCTCGGTCCTAGGCTGAGGACGGAACACATTGTTTAGTGAAAGGCCATGATCATTATCATTGAAATGCTGAAAACGAAATTTTTTTAAATTGTTGTACTATTCAGTTTGTGAGTAAGTATTTCTTGTTTGTCATTTCATTTTTTGGACTGTATCTAGTTATGGTACTGTATTTAAATAATTTTGTTGAAGATATTTAGTTTGCCAGTTACATAAAAGCACCATAAAATATCACTGTTGTTAATAATTTTGAATTATAATTTCTTTAAAATAGTTTTCCTATGGCTTGTTTTTCATTATCTGGTGCATACCTGGTGTGGGTTCTGGGAGTTCTTCTGCTCCTGGAGCCTGGTCTGAGGCCAGGCTTGACTTGTTGTTGCATTTTTATACATTAAGTAATGATTGCATTTGTGAAACCTCTTATCTTGCAGTATGATGCAATAATCAACTGTTTTAGACAAGTTTGTATCAGCCTTTTGCCAATATCAACACACACAACAATACACGTTGCAAAGGCAGGAGACATGATCATGGAATTTCTGGGCAAGGATGTTTGTATTGACCCTCTGTTCACATTCTTGATGAATATTGGTATTTTATATTTCATTTAAGATTTCTGAAATGGTGAATAACCACTTGACTTTAGCACTAAACTCTTTGCCCAAATCATCATAAAAAAATATCAAGGTGATTCTTGATTCAGATTGTGCTTGGCATCGGTGACACAAGAATTAAAAAACATTATCAAACTCTTAAAAACAAAGGGTTTGCATGACATCACTAATATTAAATTCTGTAATGAGTATTTGATGAAATTGAATCTCTATTGACATGAAATATATTTAAGTATGACATTCAAATATTATAAATATTTTCTTATACAGTAGACTTTAAGTTTGGTTCTTCAAGCAATTGTTGAGTGTTAAAAATTCAACTTAATTTCAATGAAAACAAATATTTAAAATGAGGCAAAACAGAAGATAACCATTGTTTTGATCAAATGCAGAACCCCAACACATGCAGTAAATAATATTACAACTGTATTAGTCATGGTATTTAAAGTTTTCCATATACTGTACTGTACTGTACAATATATTTGTGATATGAGTTCATGTCAAGTTGGAAATGAGCAAAATTAAGCTGTTCCATGAAAGTGTGTAGATGTGTAACAGAATATTGCATTAGGATGGTGGATAATGAAAGTTGTCTATACAAAAACCTTCAAGTTATTTTTTAATTAAAACCTAAAGCAAAATTATTTGTAATTAGCAACTGCAGTGTGTAATGCTTTCTTAAATTTATTTTTGAATTGAGTGTTGCAAAATAATGCAGTACTGTATGGACATCCTTGATTTGTGTAAATCAGCATGAATAAAACTTATACTGTTTATTGATTTTGTATTATTTTGGATATTTTATGTGATTAGTTTTGTTAACTTTATGGCAATGTGCTGCCTATCAAAAATGTCATGCAGTGAATGAGTTGATGGAGGACTCTTCCCACAGCCATGTTGGAAGTGTTGGAGAGGCTGGTAGGGGCACCGAACACCAGGTGGGTGAGCTTGTACTTGATGCTGTTGAACACCATCTCAGTCTGTGAATTCCTGTCTATACAAAGCTGTGATGTATGCTTATGTCCTCACAATATGTTGTACAGGTGCCGTAGGATGTTACTGCCGTAGTAATCGTAACATAAGCCAGTTACATATATACTGTAGTTTAATTTACTAGTCATGTACTCTACATCCACCTAATGGTGGCAGTGGAAATGTTACAATCATGTGCATGCACTACCTACAGCAGGCCAGCTTCAGATATTTGGTCAAGCTGTCTGGTAATTTAATTACAGAGTGACAAAAGGTATGTGAGTAGTTCTGCTGACTGTTTACATTTGATTGACGTGCTCAAACTTAATGTGCAGTTTTAAACATTTAAGGACGACGTATGGCAAGTGTGTGATGGTGAGGGGTAGAGGCGAGGAGGGGCAGTGAAGACAGGTAGCTGCAAGGAGAGACAGTGAAGAGGGGTAGCTGCAAGGAGGGGCAATGAAGAGGGGTAGCTGCAAGGAGGGGCAATGAAGAGGGATAGCTGCAAGGAGGGGCAGTGAAGAGGGATAGCTGCAAGGAGGGGCAGTGAAGAGGGATAGCTGCAAGGAGGGGCAGTGAAGAGGGATAGCTGCAAGGAGGGGCAGTGAAGAGGGATAGCTGCAAGGAGGGGCAGTGAAGAGGGATAGCTGCAAGGAGGAGCAGTGAAGAGGGATAGCTGCGAGGAGGGGCAGTGACGAGGGATAGCTGCGAGGAGGGGTAGTGAAGAGGGATAGCTGCAAGGAGGGGCAGTAAAGAGGGACAGCTGCGAGGAGGGGCAGTGAAGAGGGATAGCTGCGAGGAGGGGCAGTGAAGAGGGATAGCTGCGAGGAGGGGCAGTGAAGAGAAATAGCTGCGAGGTGGGGCAGTGATGAGGGGTAGCAGTAAGGAGGGATAGCTGCGAGGAGGGGTAGCAGCAAGGAGGAGCAGTGAAGAGGGATAGCTGCAAGGAGGGGCAGCGGTGAGGAGAGGATAAGAGGCCATGAGGATGGATTGAGCCATGACGTTGAGGGTGGGTGGCAAGTGGAATGGGGCTATATGAGTAGGGCCAGTAACGAAGGATATTAGGAGGAAAAGGTAGAACTGGTAATGAGGAGGAGGGTTGAGAAAGGGTGGTAGGAAAGGCAACGAATAGAGTTAGGATAGTAGGAGCAACGGAGAGGGATAATTAGGAAGAATAGTGCATGGTAACCCCGTCACGTCGGGGGCGACGCGTGTTTATCTTTTACACCTGGGGCCAGACACGCGTCGAGGGGCTGCGGGAGCATCAAAGGGCAGAAGTAAAAGAATGAGGCTTTAAAAAATGAGAGTGAAGGATGGGTGCGAGAGGGGGGAACAGATAGGAAAATACACTCTAATAAGGAATGGCAAGAGTGGCGATGGCGGAAGGTGATAGTGAATGAGGAAGTTGATAGTGATGTTGGCCTGAGAGGTGTGAATGACTGGTGGTGAAGGAGGCAGGTGTGGATGACTGTAGTAGCAAATGAGGCAGGTGTGGATGACTGTAGTAGCAAATGAGGCAGGTGTGGATGACTGTAGTAGTAAATGAGGCAGGTGTGTGAAGTGCTGACAAAGAAGGGAGGAAATAATAGCAATATATAATACGGTACAGTGGTTGAATATTTGTTACATAAAATGCATGGTAATAAAGCCCGTGCTCCTCTGAGCACGGGCGCTTGAGGTAAAAGGTATAATGAACTTTTTTTGGCTCCAGCTCTTTGTCTGCCTGACTAAATATCTGTCTGCATGCCCTGTCCGCTCTCCTACTTGCTTAGTGGGGACTTCACTCCACTAATATGACTGATGCCAAGGTAAACACGAATCACTTTGTTTGGCCTAATTGTTCTTCCCACTCACTGAATAACCAAACATTCTTATTACCGAAAGAACGCGTCAGTAGGTGGCTAAGTTAAGGGAAGCGGACAGGTAGAATGCGGGATACCGGAGGTATAACAAAACAGATTAGCATTACACAGTGGACAACCTTGCCTATCTCTTAACACAATAATAATCTTTCTTTAGCCGGTTAACATGTCAGGGTTCTCCGTCAACAGTAGTTGCCTGTAAGGAGAGTGACAATTTTGCCGAACCACGTCGGCAGCACTTGTACTTACTGTGTGTTGACAAGCCAGCACTTGTACCTACCGTGTGTTGACAAGCCAGCACTTGTACCTACCGTGTGTTGACAAGCCAGCACTTGTACCTACCGTGTGTTGACAAGCCAGCACTTGTACCTACCGTGTGTTGACAAGTCAGCACTTGTACCTACCGTGTGTTGACAAGCCAGCACCTGCGAATTTAAAAATGAACTTGGTATTTGTTTTTGTAACACCTTTGTGTTAGGTACGCTTAAGTTTCATTGCCAACAGTTTCTTTTCCTGGCGAACGTTGTTGTGAGGTGACGACCCCAGGCACGGCGCTTCACTCTCACTAAAAACACCCAACTTGCTTACTCAGGAATGTATTTTTGATAATTTATCTCCCTGTGTGCTTGACATGGCAAGGCAAGGCAAGGCCAATGTCAGAGGTACAACAGGTGTAGCGACTAATATTAAGTAGTGTTGGTGTTGGGAACTGCGTCAAGGATTATTTAGCTTATCAAGGACAAGTTGCTTGAAGCCTCGTGTATGGTGAACTTTTCTACCATGCAGGGTTTAAAGATATCTTGTCGCGTGCTGCTGAACTCATTGTAAATATACCCGAGGGCCACCAATACTAGTGGCTTCGACGAGGACAGAAAGCCGGCGGCTTGTCAATGGTCCCCCGATTTGCTCTGAGGATCTTTTCCAGTTGTATTTTAAAACCCAACAGAGTTTCAGCATTTACGGCTTCGGCGGGTAGGCGGTTCCATGGGTTTAACCTTGTGGGTGGAAAAGCATCTTCTGTGTTCAGTCCTACACTGTGGCTTGTTGAGCTTGAAACCGTTGTTCCTCTTTCGTGTTATAAGCTGCACATTATATTTCTCTAATATTCAGTTTTGGTATTATAATTTTACAATAGGAAAATTTATATATAGTATATCTATATTGCTGGGTTTGATTGGTGCCTTAATTCACTTTTTTAACAATCATAGGTATAGACAGCAATGTGCTGCTTCCCTATATGAAGGATTACGAGGATCACGTTCACCTACAAATAAATAAGTACTAAAGAGATAGCTGACTGTTGTGGGTTACATCCTGGCAATGGTCAGTCGATCGTTGAATATGGGAACCTCGATGAGCTTAATGGGCTTCTCGTCTCCTGACAACGCGACACCATATACAAGCGATACTCTTTATTTATTTACTTATTTATTTATTTATTTATTTATTTATTTATTTAGTTATTTATTTATACAATAGTTCTTACATTCTTGTAAAACGCACGCATAGCGTTTCGGGGAGGTTCTTAATCCTAATTTTCACCGGAATACGACTCGCCAAATCGTTTAACAACCAGGTACCCATTCACTGTTGGGTCAACAGAGGCTACAGTTAAGGATTGGCGCCTAGTCTATCCTCCCCGGCCAAGATACGAACCCAGGCCAAAGTGCTCGCGAAGCGCGCCGGAGGAGTGTCTTACCACTGCGCCACGGGGACTGTTAAAGGTAAGGTTATAGTAAGATAACAAGCTAAAGGTAATGGTAACAAGCTAAATGTTATGGTACTGTAACAGGGCACACTCATAATCTAACACACATCTTTTTCTATGACTTGTGTCATAGACATTTTTTTATTATCCGAGTCTGTATAAAGAAAATAAGGCTAATGTGTAAGAATACGCTCAACAGGCTGCGTCAGTAAGACGTGCCATCCCTGATGGAATGGTAAAGCTGGAACACGCCTAGAGGTTTGAGCAGAGGGGATACCTGAAGCTGAGGGAGAGAACGGAGCACTAACGGGGGACGAGTACACAGGGGAGGGGGGGGGGGGGTAACTTGTATGTAAATCCGGCAGTCGTAAGAAAAGGCGATGGGCGATGCAATGTGAAATTATTGTGACAGCGAACGATGGAGACGCAACAACAGTGGGAGAAGAACACCAAAATTGGGGTTCGGGGAGAGAAGAGGGCGGGGCGAGGAGTGCGCGCGCACGGTGCCAGGGGGGGCGGCGCCACCGTGTAGTAGGGGGCTCGAAGCGAACCCCAACCAGCTGCAACGCCCCACACTGATTTCGTTGAGATTTCATATTTCCGGAATTTAACGTTTAGTTAGTGCCGTTTAGCCTTTATCACAACACCAGTTGGGTATTTTGATAGTGCATAATGAAATTACATATTTGAATATTTGAATGTTTTGATTTCTAGGTGTCGGTGAATGACGTCAACAATGAACTACGATTGCTTTTTCTGGAGCTTTTCTCCGAGACGGTCGCTATGCCCGAGGCGTTTATGGCAAGGGTGGGAGGGTTGGCTGATGGTTGGGGGAGGGGAGGGGTGGTATGGGCATAGGGGGGGGGGATACCAGGAGGGGAAAGGGTTGGGTGGGAAAGTGGGTGGGAGCAGGAAGAACATCTCATATGGGCAAGTTCATTCCCTTGCCTGCGTCCACGCCGAAGGGAACTCCAGTCCGTTATCAGTGCTGTGTTTTGTTACATCAGTGAACGTGGAGTACACTAGACAAACGTAGTACACACATTGTGAAATATGCCACATTTCTTGAAAGTACTATTCCTCGTGATATTTCCTGGAGAATGGACCTGGAACTCCTTTAACAGGCCCTGGACGGAGGTCTCCATCAGTGTGCATTAATAGTGCCTGGAACCGTATCAACCATTCATCCGACTTGTGATATGCGAACGATAATTTGTTGCAAATACATTAACAA